AAAAATGCAGAATAAATATGGTTTACGCCACATGCTCCAAAACTGATGTGTGTTTTGAGTCAGTTGGAGAAAATCCCACTCGGAAAAGGTGCTTTCAGTAAACAGGTGATTTGCACCAAGGGTAATAATAATCGTATTCAGTCAATTCACTGTACAATATATTCTGTGAAGCGCTTTGAGTCATCTAGAAGATGTGATAAGGTGCTATATCAAATGCAAGGATTATTATTATTGTAAAGTGAATTGACTGTATATTTTGTGGGTGAACGGGTAAGTGCAAACTGTGCAAATTCATTCCAAAACTGCTACTCTCATACCTGTTGATGCTTCAGAAACAAACACAATATTGTAAATACCGTCTTTCAAAGGCAAGTGTCTTAAATTGTGTCATGATGACGCTCAGCAGGTTCTCCCACTTGCATGTGAAGCTGGAAACCATTTCACATTGTTGGACACAGTTTAAATCCCATCTGCCCACTTTTGATCTCTGATTGAATAATATATGGCTTGACCAGATCCTTAAATGAATGAATCAATTACATCATTTTTTCCCTATTTGTGAATGCATACAGACAAATGAGAAGAAAACACGAACCAATATGCTGATCAAAGGCATATTCTTGATGTGTGGGTTAAAGAGTCATTGCACATAATAAATAATAATAATCCTTCCATTTGATATCGCTGCTTTTACCACCATGCCTCAAAGCACTTCACTGGATTTGCAGTAAAAATGTATTTTAGCCTCCTTCTAACTCCCTACCAACTAGCTCGCTCCCTCTGCTCAACGGGCTCCAGCCTGCTTCATGTCCCCCGCCTCGCCCGCCTTTTGCCTCTCCGCCCCCACCCTCTGGAACTCCTTCCCGCAGTCCCTCCGTCTCGCCCCCTCTCTTGCCTCCTTCAACACCTGTCTCTTGAACCTCCTCTTCGACGATGCCTTCGGTTACCCTGCTCCCTCCCCTGCTCCCCAATCCTGATCCCCAGCTCGGGTCCGTAACGGATTGTCCAGCGCCTTGGGACGTCCTGCCGACGTGAAAGGCTCCATACAAATGTCATTTTGTTGTTGTATTTGTAGGAGAATGTGGCAGTCAATTTGCACATAGCGTTGTTCCATAAACAGCCAGGAAATTAATTATCAATTTTATTTGGGGGGAATTGCCGGGAATTGCTTCTCTTTTTGAATTGTGCCATGGGATCTTTCAAGGACACCTGAATTCAGGCCGGCTGCACGGTCCCCAGTCCCTCCGCCCACCATCCAGTTTATGTGCCCACCATCAACTCCTCTATCTTACCCGTTCGCTTTCCAACTTCGAAAGCTGTCTAAGAGCTTACCTCATTGACTGTACTTATGGTCACTTCCCTTCTCCGCATGCTCCGTGTCGAGCTTAAGAGGTGTCACAGGTGAAGGTGCAAGTTCTTGTTATTTTATTAAATAAGTGCAGATAACAATTATAAAACAATTGTGATCGGTACTTTTGGTATGACCGTATTCTATGTGTCATGGTTTAAATTCACTTTACACCATTTACTTCAACACATTTCGTTGATCACAAGATTTGTTTCAAGATAATATCGATAATATTAATAATAATAATATTAATAATAATAATTAATAATAATATTATTAATAGTGATAATATTGATAATAGTGTGTTCTGTGAAGCGCTTTGGCACGTCCTCCCCACGTGAAAAGCGCTATATCAAATGCAAGGATTATTATTATTATTATTATTATCAAGGCTTTGACAAACTTACCGGAGTAGCAGTGGAAATCTTGTACCTGCCTGTCAGTTTGTGGTATACTGACCTCTGTTGGCTGAAGTTGCGCATATCTACATGATCAGAAGCAACCATTCTGTTGTTTCATTTGCCATCTCGTGGAGATTATCCGTTACTGCCTTCTGCCACAAAATCGATTTTTTGTAAATTTAAGATGGAGATATAAATGGGATATAAATGAAATGGGAACAGTGGAAATAAATTGTCTAACGTTAATGTTAGCATCCAAATCAAAAAGGTTAGCGGTCTTGATGACAGTTATCGTCTCTACAATAAGAGATGTAATATTAGAATCAACAATGATTTGCAATGTTAGAATCGACGTTGAACCATAAGAATTTTTGACTTTTATGGCAGAACTTCAAAAATTACTTTAATTGTGTCCCCGACATCTGCAGCAGCCTTGCCAACTTGTGAATACTTTGCCAATGGATTACAGCCCGACATTCCACAAACCAGACTGAGGGCGAGAATCCACCCACTTTGTTGTTATATTTGGTGAAGGGAACGAATTGACTGGTGAACAACAACAACAAATTACATTTGCATAGCGCCTTTCAAGTTGAGAGGACATCCCAAGGCATTGGGCAGGAAAGCCTAGCCTCAGCCTCAATTTATCTGTGAATGGACAATAACAACAAGGCTCTCCGTTATGCATCGTGCCCCTTGTTTGTTCATCTGCTGTACAAATCTGTGTTCTAATGCCTCGAAGATTGTTGGAGAAAATACATAGTGCCGCCACTGATTACCCGACTCGTGGCTTTGAATGAAGAGCTGCTTTCAAAATTTTCAAACAGATTGAAAAATTTAAATGATATACCTGATTCATGAACGACTCCTATAACCACGAAATTTAGATCCTTATCCACCCCTTAAACAACTCAGAAATGACATGATGAATGCAGTGCAGCCATCAGGCGTCATGAGTCACTGTTTCCAGACTGCAGTTCTTAAAAGGACATACTTCTCCATGTAAGGTGAAGAGGCACATGGTCACTGTTAACATTTCATTGCTATTAACATTTCATTACAAATCTAGCAGTTGCCATGACAGCACTGTTAAATTAAGCTTGAGATTTCCTTGCAAATTGTAATAATGATTTTGGTACGGCACATTTATAAAGGAATGCTAGTTTGAAAGTGAAAGATTCGCTTGATATATGCTGCAAGGCAGAAAATAATTTGTTATGATACGGACAGGTATTGACTGAAACATGAACATTATTATTGCTGGTAAATGTTTTAGGCTACACTCGCACTTTAATTCAACTCCCTTAATGTTATGAATCCTTCAGATTAATTATCAGATAAAAATCTGTTGGTTTTATATTCGCACAATCAAAATTTAAAATTAAGCGTCAATTAATGTTAAAACTGAACCCTGACCTTCCATTCAGGAGCATGACAGAAGGCTTTTGCTTAATGTGGGATTAGTATTGATTTCTGTATATCTAAAGCTTTTCTGGGATTTCAAAATCCATTATTTTTGATTTTTCTATCAAATACATATCCTTTCTTGTGACATCTGACAAACAATACCAAGGAAGGAGTTTTATCAACTAAAATGTCTTTGTCAAATAATACCATGCTAATGGATCTTAATGTCAAATTTGTTTTCCATATTGTTCAATCCATAAACATTAATATCCCACTTAAAGAGGTGCATTAGTGGTTTTTGGGTACTAGTTTTATGTGTTAAAAAAGCTTTAATTACATAGCAAAACATTGTGATCATCATTATTTTTACAGATAAATTTTATACAAGATCATTCAACTGTTTGTCAAGGATTTAAGTGATGTTCCAGTAAATAAATATAAGCAAACATAGTGACCTAGATTTGTGATGAAATCATACAGGTGATTAATTGAGTTAAAAATATAAAATCTGTACGTCTACTGTTAAAAGTCCTTATTACAAGAGACCACTCCAGGGCCCTGGGTCATTTGTCCGATTTGAAGGACGCTATACAAGTGTAATTTGTTGTTCTTTCTTGGTGATAAGAATGGCTGCAAATTTTCAAGAAACCTGTTCCAAAGATCGAGTCTGCTTGAAAAGTTCCATTGTGACAGCAATGGCCCTTTTAATAATGTTGTCCAGTTTGTATATTCCTTCTGATAAAATGCACCTCTTTCAACTGAGAACAAGCTCACTCGATCAGTTAAAACATTCAATGTTGTTACTTTCTCCCAAATAGCATACCTGCAGTGCAACGCTCTTGTTCTTCATCAGATTGCTTGCATCATCTGTTCTTCCTGTGACCATTGACTGTGCGTGGAGTGGCATTGTTATGGAAAAAGTTAGAAAATAAGCACATTAACGGTAGTAAAACATTAGAGTTTCTGGAGAAAATTTAGCGCATAAAATTGAGGTCTTCGTTGAACCTCCAAACTAATGAGTTCTTCAGCTTGAACAGACACAATATCATGTTCTCTTGTGGCATTGCACAAGTCGGTAATTAAACACCATCATCAGTAAACACCATTCATGTTAGTTATGGTCAGTCAAGCTCAGAACACAATTTTCAATAAAAAGCTTTATTTTTAACTATCTATTTGCGTATAGAGTATAAATTATTTTGGTCAACTATATAGATATATTGCTCAACAGTTGGGTTACATCTGCCCTTTTCATTCAGTCTTTTGTGGGGAAAAAACTCATTTAAATTCATAAGATAACTTTATTCTTCTTTTCCACCTATTCCAGCAAATTATATTCTTGCATTGTTTGTCAGTGATCAGAATTGATTATTCTGTGTGATCTCTACTGTAAATTATATCGTTTTTGCTTTTTTGTGGTATATTTTACCTGGTAGAATTTAGAATTCAGATGGTTATTTAATGAAAATTGATTCTTGTCCATTCTATTTTATGTGCTTATTAACCCAACCAGCCTTTGCTTGTTTCAAGAACAAATTAGAGAGATTTCCACCAGAAAACAATATCTTGGGATACAGTATATAGTCTGGGACATGACATGTCAAGTGACTGCCAGGATGGTGGAAGCCAAACTAGATGGACATTGGTCTTCTTTCAGCTAGGAAATTCTTATGTTCTTATGCTGTTAGATACGCTTGATTGATAGTCACTTGAGTTCATGCTGCCCTACCTCCTCACAGTAGTCGATCTCGTCACACCATAACAGAACGTTTAGATCTGTCACGTCCGCAGTCTGCCTGCAAATCTCCAAGACAATGCTAATTGTTAACGCTTCTTTTTATCAGAACAAACTACTATTGAAGAACAGGTGAAGCGAGTGAAAGATATTGAAGCCATTGAAAGAGATTCCTTTGTCCAGCAAACATTCAGATCAAATAAAGATACAAAAAAGGTAGGCTTTCTTCACGCATCTTCGACAAAGTTAATCCCAGCGTAATCTCACATATTTGCGTTCCGTAAAATAAATCGTAACTTTCAATTAAATTATTCCAATTGTCTGTAACTTCAGCTCATTAAAATAAGCAACATTTCATCGCTCATTGGTGAGTCAGAAAAATATGCATCACAAATATTAAATGTCTTCCTTGATTTTTATGTGTAAGTTGAAGTATTTCTGGTTAAATTTCAGATTCCGAAAAATATTCTAAAAAATAATAAGTTTTAAAAACTCAGCCGATGTCTGTGCTAAGATAAATAACCATATTTATCATTGTTCCTATTTTTAAATGTGAATTTGTGAATCAGAGCGTTGTCCCACGGTTTAATATTTCAAAGATGGGAATAAAAATCTACAAACATAATTACGGGGCAATATTGTTGCCACAATAATGTGATTGTCTTGGTTATGTTAAAGCAAAAAGTAAAAAGTAAAAAAGCCTTCCAAGTTGTCAAGTTGGTGTCACTTGTTGCGCATTATGCACAGGAAGCTCCATTGTCACGTCCTTTGCGGATTGTTGACATCTGTATTTCTATGAGGTAAACTCATGACCTTTGACGGCAGTGAATCGGTGCTGCCATAAGTCCAATTGAAATGCGAGCAAATCTGTATTTATTCACCTGTTGTTAAAAGTGACATACATTAACATATAGCTGATTATTACATGGAATGAATTGCTTAAGAATACTCCATTATGCATATTTGACCTTTGTACCCAATAAAAAAAGATGTTCATGAATAGAGGATTATTTTAGACACGTGCATCAGAACTCATGGGTCCTGCTTTACAGGAATGACCTGGTATGGTAAATGTGCTTAATCCTTGCATTTTTGATATAGTGCCTTATCATGCCTTCGACACGTCTCAAAGTGCTTCACAGAATACACTGTAAAATGAATTGACTGGGCGAAACGCGGCAACCAATTGCACACAGCAGTGTCCCACAAACAGTGGTGGATTGAGTGACCAATTTATTATTTATTATTTAAATAATCAGGTGGAATGTTGAACTGAGGTCCCGTCCTCCTGTTAAAGACCCCACGACACTATTTGAAGAAGAGAAGGGAGTTTCTCCCGTTTTTCTGGTCAACAATTCCCTAAACAAAATTGGCTGTTTGTGGGACATTGCTATGTGCAACTGGCTACCGTGTTTCACCCAGAAAATACACAGTCAAACCACTTTACAATATATCCCGTGAAGGACTTTGAGATGTCTCAACTACTCATAAGGTGCTATATCAATTACAAGAATTGTTATGTTCAAGAAGATTATGGTTCAATAATTTTTTTCTATTTTTAAACTTAGTCACAAGAATCCACTGAATCTGAGCATGAATCTGCCATTCTTGGCACAAAGACAGCTGATTACACCATTGGAATCAAGCAAGAGATTGACTACATCCCTTCAGCTATTAAATATCAGGATGATGCCACATTAGCTCATCCTAGTGTAAGTATTTAGTTACGTTGACAGGTTATGTTATGATATGAAAATAACAATAGATTATTTTGACAGGAAAATTAAAACAAACTGTATTGCTTACTGGAGTATGATTATGACCGTCACATTAAAGTCACCTCTATATAGTTTCTTATGGTTATGTTTTGTTCCATTTAGTTATATCAGAAATCATCGTCACCTTTCATGTTCTTGATCATTACCAAAACTCACAGCAGTTGATAGCTTAATAGTTAATAGAATGTATTTGGATTCAAAATTATGAAGGGGATTGATAAATGTGATTCAGACAAATTGTTTACAATAAAGGTTTGGAAAAAATAGAATTAAATGGGGATTTAAGACATGATTATTTATGACCAAATGGAGGAAGTTACCAGGGAAGCGCATTGAAACGTTGGATATAAATGGCTCAAGACAACTGGATAGTTTCTGTTTAAAGGGCAGGTGGATATGACGAGCAGGGAGATAGGATTATGAACAGTCAAGAAAAGGGTGGACTGCTGAGCCAAACGTTTGGCTTCAATCACTCTGTGACGCCTCTCATTGATATATTCTGGTCCACACCATTTACGGGGAACAATTCTCATCCTCTCGAAATTCTGATTCAAAGACTTCTTTGGGAAAACGTAGGTGGGAAACGAGAAAATAAGATTTAATTTTTTCATGGCAGGTAATGGTGAAATCAAACTGTAAATGCGTATTATTTTGAGTTGAAACTGTTTTTGTGCATTTTTCTGCTGCAGCTGTTTGTCGACAAGAAAGAAGCAGAAGAAAAGTGGTTCAAGAGGTTAATTACTCTGCGGCAGGAAAAACTGATGGGAAGCCCCGTGTCTGGATTCTGATTTTTGTTTGAACCATAAGTGTTTGTAAAACCCACTAATTGTTTTATCTTGTAAAACCGATGTTTGTATTTCTACCACCGGAGAGTGAGTTTACGTGTAGTAATCGGCTTTACGAAAATTGACACCAGATAGATGTTAACTTCAATGTCAACGAACGGCGCGGTCCAGGCTGAGACTTTTCCCTGTACACCCGACCGGGCAGCGTTCGTACAGCCCTTCGCGTTATTCAAATGGATCGGGTTTGCGAATAAAACTCTCGGTAATCCTCGGAGTCGGGGGTTTTCTCCGGGATCTGACTTGCAACTCGCGACTTGTTCCGAAGCAGCCTCCTCGCTTGCCGACGTGCTGGGGGGGACGCGATGCTTGGCGCAGAGCCGACCGCGCTCGGTGGGGGGTGGGGGGGGGTGGGGTGGGCCGCCCGCCCGCCCGCGCCCGCGTTCTTTTCAGCCGCCGCCGACCGGCGTTTCAACGGTTCTTCGGGGGTCTCGCCGGCTGGTTTGCCGTCGCCTCGCGGCGCGGCGGTCGCCTCGCACCCCTTTCCGAAGGGGTGGGTCGTTCGTTCGTTTCCCCCCCCCTCCGCCCGGGGTGGTCCGCGTTACCGTCTTGGCGAAGGTCTCTTTGGTCCGGGGGTGGGATTGGAGGGGGGGGGGGTCGGGTCGGGGACCCACGGTGACGTCGAGTAAACAGTGCGAGAAGCCCCCTGAGGGGGGGGTTGGGGGTGGGGGGGGTGTGAAAGAGAGAGAGACGCCATGTCCTTCCCGCTGGGGGAGGGCTGTCCTCCACACGTGACGGCGGGCAGGCGCGTCACGTCACTCCCCCCCCCCGGTGATTGTGAGCAGCTCGCGGGGGCCGCCCTGCGGATTTCAAACCCCGTTGACCGTTGGCTCTCGTGCTGGTTGGGTCACGCGGTCGGGTCGGTGCACGTGACGCGACACGCGCCTGCATGCGTCGTCGAGCGAGCGAGCGCGTGCGTGCGTGCTGGCTTGGCGTGTGCCTGTTGTCATAGCGACGCCGCTGTTGTCGGGGGGGCGGGAGAGCAAGACGATCCCCTTTTGCACGTGACCGAAGTGGTGGTGGGTGGGTGGGTGGAGGAGAGAGGGCGTCCAATCAGAGACGGCGGTTTGGACGCGTTGCCGTGGGTGACCGCGCGCGAGATGGAGCGGAACGGCGGCGGCGGGGGGGCGGGGCCGGACTCGGACTCGGGCTCGGGCTCGGACCGGGAGGTGGCTGCGCGCGCGGAGCTGCCGGAGTCGAGGGGACAAGTGGCCGAGGCGGGTCTGAGTGAGATGTTCAACAATATGCTTCGCGATTTCGAGGAGGATCCGTTCTTCGCGTAAGATTTCTTTTTTTTAAAAAATACACACACAACGCACACACATATATATATACACACACACACACACAGTCACAGAGAGAGACACAGACACAGAGAGAGACACACACACACACACACACAGACAATAGATGGATCTGTGTGTATGTCATATACCTTCTGATGCCCTAAATTGTTGGTCGTCGATAATATTTTTTGTTCGCTGAGGCGGTGGTGGGGAGAGGGGGAAAGAAGGATAAATGCAGCCAAACCTTTGGTTAAATGAGTCAAAAGTCGTCTGTAGTTGGCGTCGGATGGATAGCCCTAAAGGTTTATTATTATTATTATTTTTATGTATGTATGTATGTATGGGGGAGGTGGGGGAATTATTTTGCCTACAAATACACAGCCACTACACTTTACACTCTTTACCCCTGATCCGAAATGCTGTTACGCTGTCCGGCGCCTTGGGACGTCCTCCCGACACGAAAGGCGCTCTCCGTCCACACGTGATCTTCTTGTTGTTGTTGTTGTTGTTGTTGTTCACAGTGAAATCCGGTGAAGCGCTTTCAGACACCCAGACCCCACCCCCCGCCGCCTGCTGACCCTAACTGGCGGATTTGCCGTTTCGTCTTCGTAGCCAAATAGCAAATGTTCTCTCTCTTCCCGAGGGAGAATAATATTCCATGGTTTTCCGTGCGGATAGTCTCTCTATACCTGTGCGCAATTGGCTGCCGGGCATCACTCTTCCCCCCCCACCCCCCATCCCCCAAATACACAGTCAATTCACTTTACAGTATATCTCCTGCGAAGCGCTCTGAGACGTCTCGAAGACGTGATAAAGGCGCTGTATCAAATGCGAGGATTATTATATCTGGGTTATATACCCCACCCGGTGTTTTCAATGTAGACGTGGTAGATTAGGATGGGGGTAGGGCAGAGAGGAGGGCTGTATCCTGGTGTCTGAGTTTTATTTTAATGTTTGGTGTAAGAATAACTTGCACGTCGTCTGACCGTGAGCTGTTCAAGGGCATTGAAGTTGACTGGGACAGAGTCCAAAAAAAGACGATCAGAGGGAGCCGTACATCAACTTTGCCATATCAAGCTATAGTCCAAGCAGTCGACCTTGCTCTCTCCCTCTCTCGCCCGAGCTTTTTCTATCATGGCAACGCCAATGACAGTGATACTGCCACAACACATCATTTCTAAGAACTCCACAAATAGTGGAAGGTGATTTTGTGAAATTGTACTGTTTTTAAATTGGCTTTACGCACAGAAAATATTACGTCGGGGGTGGGGGGGCTGAAGACTTGTGGAATGACCAAGGCAGAAGTCTCGAGCAACACGCTGAAGGAATGAACTATTAGTTTCTAAAAAGCATGAAGCTAGTTAATACAGTTTAAATAGCATTCAAGACGACGTAGCTAAAATTAAGCCATGCTTGTTAACTTTATTCTTTATTAAGCCAGACAACTTTTGGTTGTCTATTATTTGGATTATTTAAATGATGAATTGGGCAAATATTACTGCATACAAACTGGGTACACCCCCTGTGGTAGCAATTGTAAGAGAAATTACCCCCAATTTAATCTGTGCAAATGGTTCACACAACAAATCCATGTTAACGATTCTATAGCACTGTTGAAAAAAAGAGGAGAGTTTCTCCCAGTGTCCTGGCAAACGGCTTTACAAATATTATTGATCATTCACTTTGTGGCTGTTTGTAGGTCATTGCACGCAAACTGGCTGCCGTATTTATCTACAAATGCATCCTCATTAGGTTTACAGTAAAGAGCTGTGAAGCGTTTATGATGTGATAATGATAAGTATATAAATGCAAAATTATCTACTCTTTCCCTTTTTGTTAAACTTAATATGCTGTCTAACCTAAGGAATAAAATATAAAATACCAATTTTCTCCCTATTTAGGGACCCATTCCGCGCACATCAAGAGCACATGAATAAGATGATGAGAACTTTTTCAGATGGCTTTCAACTGGATCAATGTTTTGGTAAAAACAGACAAGTGGAACAAAGCTGCTCTAACAATCAAATGCCTTTCAGTGATGATCGCAGGGTATGATACTTAATTTTTTTTACTCTCGTTCAAATTCATTGATTATTTTGTGGAATTTAAAGTAGTGTAGGCTAGTGTGACATCGAGAGTTGCTTGATATTTTCTGTGGAGAATTTGTAGAGCCAAATGTAAACATATAAGACTTGGGCAGAGAAATGCTTTTGGAAGAAAGACGTGCAGTAGTTTCATTAGTGTGACATTTCAAACTTGTTTTTCCTTCCTCGACTTTCCTTTCACAGACTTCAGTTCCCACAATATTAGATAGATTTTCTGTACAGTGGAGCATGTTTCCTAAACCATTCTTTCTTCAAGGAGATGTCACTGTACAATATGCAATGCTAAAAAAATTATCAATTTGACAGAAATTTAGTGAAAGGCTGCAATTTTCTACCTCTGGTATTTTACAGGAAATCAGCCGTTCGCTCGTGCCTTTTGACTGTTTTGGTAGTATGGTTAGTACAGCATGTATAATTTTTCTCTGAAGAATCTCTTTCTCATTTTAGAGCGGGAAGGCTACAGTACTAACAAGGATTTCAATAAGCTTTTGCTTCTCTAAAGCTGGGGCAACCTGAAATACAGTACGAGTAGCCATTCTGTTTTAATGGTCTGACAGAAATTTTAATTATTCTTGTAAAAATAAATGAAACATGAATTGAAGTACATACACACGTGTGTTATTCCAGTTCCTTTTGTGTAGTTTTATTGATAGTACTGTAACACGTTTGTATCTTAATAGCTAAGTTGTAAACTCCAAAATGTTACACTTGCATATAAAATTGGTCGGTGGTGACTGTAAAGACAGAATGGCCTTTCAAGTACTGTGGCCGTATATCCTTAACGAGTGGTTGTTTGAATTGGATCCCCAAACTAAGGAGTAGGTGGGTCATTGTTTTTTTAAAAAAGAGCTTATTTTTATATATATTATATATACACACAATTAACACCCAATATGTAGTTATCCAGCACCTTCCATATCAGGAGCTATAAGCATGTCGGTACCTTAATCCACTAGAACATTAGACTTTTCCATTTGGAATAGATATTCTATGTGCATTAGGTAGCAGAACTACTTCATCTTTGGGCTCCATGGGGTCAGGGGGAGCGATGGTAAAGAGATGCTTTGGTCAGGATTGATCCCGGGAGGTGGGCAGGAGGAGAAGATTTGATGGTTTGTTCTTGAGGCTCTGGTAACGCAGAGAAATAGGTGTGTAAACGTAACCTAATTGTATCTATCTGCGTGTAATGTGCAACTCAACATGTAACATGTATTCTATTATTGGAAAAATAACTTGGAAAAGTAAAACGTGTTTTAATATGACAGCATCGAAGGCTGTTGCCATTGCTCCTGATGGTGCAGCAAACATTGATTTGCATGACTAATAGTGGTGAGGATATTGCTTGATTATAGACGGAAAAAAAACATTTTGAAACAAATGCATTGTGAAACCATTGAACGGCATGAGATTACTCGTAGAATCGCACTTGAACTGCATGTTTGGGTATTTCCAACCTCATAAATTTGTCTCTGTGTTTACGTTAATGCTGCAGTTCTGTGCAGTTGAGCTTTGAGCACTCTTCCATCAATCTGTTCCCACTACATTTCATTACTGGCACCAGAACTATAAAGTTATCATGAATTAGCTAGATCAAGGATGAAATGTTTGGATAAAATAATTTTTTTTTAAATGGTGGACTGATTTTAGTATCATAACCTGAATGTCTTGGTAAAGTAGCTCAGTTGCAAAGAGATGAGCATCTAGAGTGGGAGTGTTATGAAGACAGCAGGAGAGGATTTGCAGTGGTTTGAGGATATTTCACCCAGTAAATTAATAAAATGTTTTAATTACATTTTATTTTTTTAATTAAAATACTTAAAAATCTGGCAATAACAAAAATGAAGAATTGGAGGAGGAAGGGAGTATAAAATTTGCCTTTCATCAATATCATGATGAAAATGTTTCATTTTCACCATCAACCTTTGTTTTGTATTAATTTGTGTTTATATTTTAGTGATAAAGATTGTTGTGCTACAGTCAGTTTTAAATGTTTAATTGCTAAATTGTTCGATTTTGAAATTCACATGCATTTCATATAACTGTATACAACAAAGAAAGGGAAGCCAATTCATCAGAAAGTCGTAGCTGATTAAGTCATGGGTTTTCAACGGAGAAAAGCTCAACTGTTACTTGATACATCAACGCAAATAAAATTTTCTGAAAATAAAAATATACCAATTTCAGCATAGACTGAGGTCATTCAGTCCTTTGCCCCTACTCTATCACCCTTTACTATTAATCCTACTTTACATCTCTTTCTCCTTATCTCTTAATTTACTTCTCAGGTAGAATCGCATTCCTTTTTGACTGATTCTATTGATCCAGCCTCAGTATCCCTTCCCAAATTCCTCTACTCCAGGGGAAAGAGTCCCAGTTTAGGCAGCGTGTCTTCATATACAATATATTGTCTTATACCTTGTATCGTCCTAGTGACATGATGATTATCATATGAAGTCCTACATTGATCTTTCTTCCAATGCAAGCAGCAGAAGTTCAGGTAAAATCAATTTCACCATGGGGATCGCCATGCACTGTTGATGCCATCCACTGCATTTAAATCCACTTCACTTTCGTCCTCACAATGTATTTGGTGTATTATGATAGGTTGCAGAGCCAATGGACCCATTCAAGCACATGGAGAACATGTTGTCTCACGTGAGGAGCAGAATGTTTGACAGGCGTGGAATATTTGTAAGTGTAGTCTGTCATCTCACCATAAATATATGAGGAAAGTACATGGCATTCTTCTTAATTTTCAATCCTACATACACCACTAAAGGTTCTGTCACTATTAGTTATGTTTTGATCATTATCTACTAAGGTTTTGTTATCGATGCTTATTTTGTTTGTAAAGATCTATCAAATGTATTTACTCAGTGGTCTCTTTGTCCAATCTATTGCTTGGCATTGTAATAGTCAATTTTGTATTTTCTCTCTCGAAAAACCATATAGATCAGTAACAAGATAGCTTGTTTATTCATTCACAATTTAAACATTGTTCCAAATGTTCTGAAGCATTTGCACTGCTCAATCTCAAACAACTCTGTTTCAGGTTCTATTTAGCCAAGCACAACACAGATAAATGCAGCCTATATTTAGGATTTTTCTGTCTTCCTCCAATTGTTCAAGAACATAACATTTTTGAGATGTTCAGGAAACAAACCTGCATTTACCTGTCAGGGTAAATGAAATATCTATCTCAAATTAAGCGTCTTAACACTCAACTTCATCTGATACCAGAACCTCAAAAGCAGAAGGCACAATGTTCTTCTGCATTTCCTAGTCTGAGTTGTCAAGCCTTAAAGACCACAACAACAACTTGACTTATGTAGCACCTCCACATAGGGTAATGTCTCAGAGCTCCACCTCCTTCAGTACTTTTCCCTTGAACTTCCAGTGATTCTTAGCACCTTGATTAACTCCTGCAATGCAGTTACTTGTCAACCACTCAACTGGATTATTAATTTAGGATCTGATGAAGACCTGCAACCAGTTATCCCTGACCTGTCAATTAGAAATGAGACTATGAGTTTATTTTAGAGGCATTACTTGGGATTTCTTCTCCCTTACCTCCCTCCTCCTCCTGCCCCTACCCCTCAACCCCCTCATAAAAAATCTGGTGAATCACTTTCCAGTGGTGTATGGAGAATGCTTCAATTTCAAGATTTATGAAGATTGTACAAGGTAAGTAATCCCTCTTACAAGAAAAGCATGGTTAATTCATTTATAAATACTATACTGCAAAGATTTGGCTGCTTAAAAGGTGTATATTTAAGTGAGTTAAATGATATGTCGTCATTTTTAATCTGCAGTTCATGAATTCTTTGATTGGAGCAAGTGGGGATACAATCCAGCTAAGCAAAACTATAGCAGTTTATTTATTTATATGTCTTCTCCCATAGCATGATCTGCCTTCCAATTCGAATGGTCACTCTTTCAGCTCTTCCAGTGTAAAGACCTATACAAAATTGGGAGATAAACCTGCAAAGTTATTTGAGGCTTCAAGTCAAACCAGACAAGCTCCTGGTGGGGTAAGTAGGTTTCTAAATAAAGACGAGAAGCATGATATTATTTGCCTAAATTGGATCCGCTAAGGAAACCATGACATTTCAGTTTTACATTATGTGGGGATAGACTCTGAATTTATGGTGCTATTTTAATCACAGATTCTACCATGGCCAAAGGGATTATTTTGGCTACAGTATTTTGAGAAAGGAATGGATAGTGCCCTTAAGTATCGAAGACATAAGTGACTTTACAAAGTTGTGTGTGGCTACCCATACTACTTAAGCCTTGACTGATGACAGTGTAAGGCCAATGTTGAGATTCTTCAGCTATGAAGAGCTGAACACAAAGTTGAGAATGGTAGATAGATACAGGAGTTGACAGAAGAGAGATAGCAGTAGTAATAATAATGATAATTATCCTTGTGCTTAATGTAGTAGCTTATTACTTTGTTGACCCTTCTCAAAGCGCTTCACAAAATTTACTGTAAAGTGTAGTGACCTTATTTGTAGAAATCTGCGAGGCCTTACAGTCTGTGGTCAGCATAGCTATGATTGATGATCAGTGTAAACGATTTTTTTAAAATAATGTAATAATACAGAGCCATAAATCAGTACTCGTATAGACACTCTTTATTGACCTAAAAATAGTCCATTAAAAATACATTTAGACAGCTTGATGGTGCAAATAGCTTAAATCTCAATCTTTTACTTTGTCTCATTAACATCCACCGTTAGAAAACAGTTTATTTGCCATCTTGAGCTAGATTAAATGTAAGTTCTCAAGCCGTGTTCTAAACACACTTCTCTGAAATTTTCAAAGTAGTAACTGTCTTAAATTTGTACATTCGGTGCCACAACATAGTACTTACAATGTTAGCAATCCAAATTTCTTTTCACACAAATACCTTCTGTCTGCAGCTTTTAAAACTTAAGAAACTTCAATTACTAGCTAAAAATTACTGGCACAAAGCAATTTCTGTTGGCATCAGTATGTGGAAAATTCAGTTTGAACTGCAAAACAGATTAAAGGTAATGTGCCTGCATGCAGTTCAAAATACCCTGTGGATGTGATGACAGAACTAAGCACCACATTGAGTTATCGTAATAAAAGCTTCTAATAATAAGTCAAGAGCACAGTGATAGGACCCGAGAACGCTTAACCAATGATATGCAAGCTCATTAAATGCCAACCTTTCATGTCTGAAATGGCAACATGTTCATTCATTCAGTTTGTGTTGGAATGCTGAAAGTGAACAGCATTTCCCAAGTATATGTAGCCAAGAGTTTCAAACCTTCCGGTTTAAGAAAATTAACTTTACGTTTATCTCTGTATGTATGAAGTATGTACAGGGTGACCAAAAAGCCATGATACCATTACAATGTCTTATAAGTCTTGAAGAAATTATGATATTATTGTTTTTAGATAGTAGGGAATATATCACGACTTTTTGGTCACCCTGTATATGAAAAGTAATTTGAGGCCAGAGAAAAAACTTTTCATTCAAAGGTCTCTACGTATGATGCAAAAAATGTAGCTTCCGGATTTTCTATTTCTACTGTATTTGTGACATCTCACCGCCCCTCCATTTCTGGGCAAATCTGGGGGCACTGCAGATGGGGAAAAGCCACTTGCATTCCAGAATGTCTCTATTTAGTTTAGTGGAGTCGTAAATTTGGACCAGCCTACAAGCCATGTCAAAGCTGCGTGACCAAGCAATACTGCCTGGGTAATCCTTTGAATTAGCTGATTCAACAAGTGAAATTCTCAAAACATAATGTAATATGTAGCACGGAAAACATCAAGACCAAAGGTCCTTTACCTTTACAGCAAGTATTCTGAGAGTGGGGTTGATGTGATTGCGTGCTTTTTTGCAGCTCTAAAGCATCCAGATCATTATTGACATTTTTTAAAAAAAAACATAAGGAGAGCTCTAAATGTATTGCCCTTGACGTCTATTTTGTAGAATTCTAAATAAGTAGGGAGAAATTCCACTTAGATCTAGATTTACTCTTTTAACATAACATTTCAGAGTGATCAGAATTTGTCAAACGCTTAAACACAGTCATCAAATTTGAAGCCTTTTTAAGAACTACAAAAAATGGGCTTCAGATTTAAAATTGATTTTAATAATTTTGTCAAAATCAGCCCATGACTGCTTTGTTAATAGCGTAAATTGAGACCCAGGAGGAATATTACAACAACAACTTGCATTTATATAGTACGCTTCATGCAGAGTAGCGTCCCGGAGCGCTTACCCTAAAGATATGTGATAAATATTTTGCGGGATATGTTGAGCTTAGTACGCATCTTTGGGTTGATGAAAAGGAATTGGAATTGGGTTTTCTTTTGCAGATAAGAGAGATAAGGAAAGCAGTCAAAGACTCTGACACCGGAGAAGAGAAAATTACAATTGGTCATCACATTCATGATCGCGGTCATGTTATTGAAAGATCCAAAAATGAAAAATCAGGGGTTTCGGAAGTGAATCAGGAATTTGTCAACGTAGATGAAAGTAAGGTTTATTTGAAATAGACATTTTAAGTCCATTTTGAAAGATACAGCAGCATGTATGCCAGAGAAAAATAGTTTTTAATCTTTTACCAGGAGGAAAAAAAAGTCCTGTTTGTTTCTCTACTCATTGTAGTCAGTGTTACAGGACTGGTATTTCTTGTGCAAATATCTTCCATTGGACAGTATTTGTTTGGTGATAAACTAGTACAGGGCAGATACCTGAATGCTACCGTCAATTACTTGCTTTGGTGAATGTTTATGACTGTTATGTGGAAGATCTCTATTTAAGATTGAGATTTTGCCTGCATTTTGTCAGTAACATTATTTTTGCGATTAAAAGATGAAGCAGATGCCTTTGATCAAGAATGGGAAAGTGGGGTGGCAAATTGGAGGAGCAGTGGACTATTTGCACAACCTTCTCGCACTCGTGTAAATAAGGGCCTTGAACCTGGAGCAAAAAGGTAGATTTTTTTACAAATTATTTTTCTCCTAAGCAAACCTGAATAATAATTTCATTAGAAATGCAAGAGTTCTATCGGCTACATGTGTCTCGACTCACTAACATTTGCCAATTAAAATTGTGATTTGTAAGAAATAAGACTGACACACGATGATTCATTTTTCAGGGAGAAGTCTCTTCCCCGAAGATCCCTTCAAGGGTTGAATAATAACACGCGTGGGAATATGAGTGAGATGGTTCAGGGAAGCGCATGTGAACTGCAAAACAGAAACACGTGTGGGAAGCCACAGAGGAGCCAATGTGAGAGGGAACGTGGGAACACGCGGCCATCTTGCTAGAGAAAACTCGCGCCACTAGTTTTTCGTCACTGTTGAGTTCTTTTGTGCTTTCACGTTCTCGTTCCCGATCCTGCAGAACTGTTTCTGCGTCCTGTATAACCTCTGGCTTTCGCTTCGCAATGAGAGCGCCTCTCCGTCACTAGGAGCCCGCTAACAAATGGTGGGAGATACTCGGTCATCGGCAAAGGCATTTCAAACGAGCACATTGTGTAGTGTGCGCGTGTGTTTTTTTTTATCGGTTACGGTGACGAGACTTGCTGTATGACTCACAAGCCCACAAGAAGCCAGTGAATAAAATCTTACCATTAACTGTGGTGATTGTGAATACCTTACCCTGACACAGCCCAACCCGCTGTGACTTACTGTCGTGCTCCGCAGATCACTCATCGGGAGCACTGATATTCTATATCAAATGCAAAGATTATATTATTATTATTATTATTATTATTTGTAAACACACCTGGGACATTGACAAGGGAAGAGGATGGTGATGTCAGTGGTAGTGAGGGACAAATGAGGCCAGGGTCGAGTTATCCGGAGTTTGCGGTAAGTTGCCCTCCGGCCTGCGGGGGGCGGTGTGCGCGGAGTCCGGCAGATGCTGGTGATCGTCTTGCCGGCGGCCGGAAGTGCGTGGCCCTGACCTTCCCCGAGTCTCCTGGCGACGGAACCGGCGCGAGTCTGAGCCCCGGAGCCGCGGCCGTCAGCGTGTCACGGTCTGCGGGAACATGCACCTCTTCAAAGGGGCCGCGCTGCTGACCGGCAACCCAGCCGCTCCCTTCAGCATCAGGCAGGTAAGGGACACCCCCCCCCCGGCCCGCGGGCCAACCAACCGTTAGCCGCAGAGCCCAGGCCTACACTGGGGGAGAGGGGAGAGAGAGGGAGAGCCTGTGTGTGTGTGTGTGTGTTACTGTGTGTGTGTGACTGTCTGTGTGTGACTGTGTGTGTGTGTGTGTGTGTTACTGTGTGTGTGTGTGACTGTCTGTGTGTGTGTGTGTTACTGTCTGTGTGACTGTGTGTGTGTGTGTGTGACTGTGTGTGTCTGTGTGTGTGTGAGACTGTGTGTGTGTGTGTGTGACTGTGTGTGTGTGAGACTGTGTGTGTGTGTGTGTGTCTGTGTGTGACTGTGTGTGTGTGTGTGTGACTACACGTGTGTGTGTGTGTGTGTGGCTGTCGCGGTTCCAGTCTAAGCTCTGCTCGTGCTGTTGCTGCCACGAAATAAAAGAAAACTCTCTGGCTCTCAGCAACTCCAGGTAAGGAGCAGGAGGAGGCCATTCAGACCATCCATCCTGGGTGAGATGAGATGGGGGGAGGGGGGGAGCTGGCTGAGGGGCTCTGGTTGGCGGGGTGTGGGGTGGGGGGAGCTGGCTGGGGCACACTGGTTGGTGGGGGGAGCTGGCTGGGGGGCGCTGGTTGGCGGGGGTGTGGGGAGCTGGCTGGGGGGGTTGTGGGGTGGGGGGAGCTGGCTGGGTGGCTCTGGTTGGCGGGGGTGTGGGGTGGGGGGAGCTGGCTGGGTGGCTCTGGTTGGTGGGGGTGGGGGTGGGGGAGCTGGCTGGGTGGCTCTGGTTGGCGGGGGTGTGGGGTGGGGGGAGCTGGCTGGGGGCTCTGGTTGGCGGGGGTGTGGGTGGGGGAGCTGGCTGAGGGGCTCTGGTTGGCGGGGTGTGGGGTGGGGGAGCTGGCTGAGGGGCTCTGGTTGGTGGGGGTGTGGGGTGGGGGAGCTGGCTGAGGGGCTCTGGTTGGCGGGGGTGTGGGGTGGGGGAGCTGGCTGAGGGGCTCTGGTTGGCGGGGATAGGGTTGTGGGGGGAGCTGGCGGTGGGAGGGGGGTTGCAGAGTTGAGCTGAATTTACTGTTTCAGGTCTTAAATCCTTATAACCAGCAAGTCATGTGGTTCAGAGCAGATGTGAAATAACTGCGAGGAACATCTTATAAAGGCAAAATGTCTGTCTGTCCACCAAGAACACAATAACCAATTGACGTAGAGACATGATTTATAATCTAATATAAATTATAATAACACTGAAATCTACATTCCATGTTGGAGAAACTGAATGCAATTTCTTCAATATTTTCTTACAGATCCTGATAAACGGCTGTCGACGATGTTCTTCTGGAATATTACCTAATGAGAGGATTCGGAATATAGGAATCTCTGCACATATAGACTCTGGGAAAACCACGCTTACAGAAAGAATATTGTACTATACTGGAAGAATAACACAAATGCACGAGGTTCGTTGTGTATGGGGGTGTGGGAGGGGAGACAGCGAAAGTTTGTTATGTATAAAGTGAATTTGATGGATATCCAGAAAGGTTAATCAACACAACATTATCTCTTGAAAAGTTGATCCCTGTACGTTGTCTTCTGTTCTTGAAGTTTTATTTCCAATCGACAGGTGAAAGGAAAAGATGGAGTGGGTGCCATTATGGACTCAATGGAACTAGAACGACAGAGAGGCATCACTATCCAGTCTGCAGCCACGTACACTGAATGGAAGGAAAACAATATTAATATCATTGACACCCCAGGTAATGATCGAAACCAGGTTTAAGACTCACAAAATGCCTGAGATGAACTAATAGCATCATTTGAACTGACCTGAAGGCAGCAGCTCATATTGAGGGCGATAACTTTCCCAAAAAGCCATTCTTGTGTGAATTCGTTGGTTGTTGCTGAAACTGATTTAGTTGTCTCTCAGCAGAAATTTGTTTTGGTATTTACAGAAGTAACAACGTGTATCTGTCATTAATATTTTCCTGCTTGTGTTTTTGTTTGCTTATTGGAACATCAACTATATCTTGCATGTCTCCCTCCCTGTTGCTTGAATTATGTTCATTGAAAGTTAGACATGTTTGTGAATCTATGTGTTTACTATTTATCCAGGTCATGTGGATTTCACAATAGAAGTCGAGCGTTCCCTGAGAGTCTTAGATGGAGCTGTTTTGGTTTTGTGCTCAGTTGGCGGAGTTCAGTGTCAGACAATGACAGTGACCAGACAGATGAAGCGCTACAATGTGCCATTTCTTACATTCATAAACAAACTAGACAGGCTGGGAGCTAACCCTAACCGAGCTCTTCAACAATTAAGGTTTGTGGTGACTTCTGGACTTACTTGGTTAAGAATTCTGTACGCATATCTTTGACAAATGGTGCTTCAATCTATATTTACTGCGATGAGGTATTTATGTCCCTCGTGTTTTTCCTCCGTACCCTCTGTTCCACCATTGGTGGCCGCGCTTTCAGCCACCACGCCCCAAAACTCTGGAACACTCTTCCTCTATCTCTCTGCCTTGCCCCTCCGTTCCCCATCTTCAGGCCGCATCTGAAGACTTCCTCTTCCACCGTGCCTACAGTCACCTCCCCCAACCCTTCCGGCTCAGTATCGTGTTCCACCACTGTCAAGTGCTCTGGGAGGTTACCCTGCGTGAGGGGCGCTATATAAATGCAAGTTGTTGTTATGTGAATGCTGATAAAATCCATGTTTCAGGAATCAGACTGAACTGTGTTGGCACTTACCCTTCTATGACAATAGCCATCACATCACCATCACAAAGCGCCTGGAAGATGTGATAAGGCGATATATCAAATGCAAGGATTATTATGAATTTGGGCAGTCAAAATGTAGCTTTGGGGGACATAAGATTAACCTTAATACAGGATTAATTTGACAGACCTACCCACTCAAAACAGAACCTGTCACACAGGCAGGAGGGAATGGACAAAGTGGTGTAGTTGAGTGCAGTTGCTGAAACTTTTTTCTGTGGGTAGGAAGGGACGCTCAGTGTGAGTGATGATGAGTTAAAAGGTCGAATCATGTCCAATACAAAGTGTGTTTGGCTTGACAGAAAGTTCTCCAAGTAATGAAAATATCTAGTGGTCCAATATAACTATTCTGGTACAGTATGTAATCTGTGTAGACTGCTGGATTTGAAGCTGAAATTTTAGCTTTGTTTTTGAAATTGAATTCAGTATGTAAAATGTACGGCTGCATTATGCAGCAACTTTGTAAATGCTTGTGCACATCTTAGTTTCTGCCATTGGAGGGCAGACTAAGACCTGCATAGTGTATTATGAAAAAATGCAACTGCACAACAAGGGAGTGATTCTAAGTACAAGATGATAAACGATTTGAATTTTATTTAAAAATGCTTTTGATCGATTTTCTCAGAATCAAATGTTCTATGCCTTTATTGCTGCAGATCAAAGCTGAACCACAACACGGCTTACATTCAAATTCCAATTGGTTTGGAAGGAAATGTTAAAGGAATTGTTGATCTCATTGAGGAGCGGGCTATTTATTTTGAAGGCCAGTTTGGGTAAGCAGCATTATTCAAACGTGTCAAGGATCTTCCTGCTGATCTCCATACACAGACTTTGAGCACCTTTGGACGTCCTCCTGACGTGAAAGGCGCTATGCAAATGTAATTTGTTGTTGCTGTTTGAAGAGTTGAGAAATCTAGCACAGGATAAATGCAAGAACATTCCAAGCTGTAATATTTATTATGAGAATGAAAACTCCCAATTCGTAGACCAGATTAATAACGTGTATCTTACCAATTCTTTTTACATCTGTTATGAGTATTCAACAAATTCCCCTTTTCTGGTTTCCATTTCTAAACTTTATTGTACAAATTAGAAGGTTTGATTTTTAATTCAATAACAGTTGAGATAAAACAACAGAGATAAAATAATGTGAACAACCTCTTTAATTGCTTGAGATCATATTAAGACCTTTAACGCACTATTTTAGGTTTTAATGTGGAATTTTCTCCATGGCTGTGTTACATTAGTCATTGGGGTTTAGAAACCCTTTCTGAATTCTACTTGAGTCAAATTATTTACCCTTCTGGATTATAGCACTGATGTAATACTTTACCTGCTCTTATCTTGAAGACGTCAATGTAAAATAAAACTGAGTGAGAAAGAATTTAATTTGTTATCACGGAATTGAGAGAATATTCTTCAGCTGGTTTGTTTCTTCAATTCAAAATATATTGTGTAATTGGAAATATTTAGAAAATAAATGATCTCCTTCAGTCAGGATGTGAAGTATGACGATATTCCTGCTGAGCTTCGGGCAGAGGCTGCAGAACGACGCCAGGAGCTGGTAGAATGTGTTGCAAATGTGGATGAACGGCTGGGGGAGCTGTTTCTGGAAGAGAAAATCCCTACAGTAGCTGACCTGAAGGTGTGTGTTTATTCCAAGAGTTCTGTTCCACCAATAGGATTTAATTTCTATGGTACTCCAGTTTGCTGTTCTGAAGATGTAAATAGGATAACTATTAATGTTAGTGACTCCAAGTCTCTGACGTATAATATGATTTACATACAGTAACTTTGTGACTGGATAGTTTAAAGCTGGACCTAACTTCTTTTTTTATGTTGGATTCTGTATATTTTCCATTCTTCCAAGTGAAGCAAAATTGATGGGTGGGTTATCTTCTTTGTCGTGTATTGTTTTGACTGAAACAGATTTTTCCACTAGAAAGCTGTTTTGTTAAGATAAATCGACTGTATGAGTTGATTTTAAGGTAATTATTTTTCTTCTAGACTGCTATAAGGAGAACAACTATCAGCAGGTTGTTCTCACCTGTATTAGTAGGAAGTGCACTGAAAAACAAAGGAGTACAGCCGTTGCTCGATGCTGTTTTGGACTATTTACCAAACCCAAGTGAAGTCTCAAATTATGCTCTAAGTAATCACGAGTAAGTGTTTTATTTCTATCATTATTACTCCGAATTAGACTATTGAGGCAGTAAGTTAATGTAATTAACTGAACGTTGTCTTTTTGAGCACATCCTTTCTGTTTTGGCTCTCAGTGGTATAAAGGAATACATTTTAAAAAATCTCAAAACTTTCACAATTAAATATTGGCTGGGATACTCATTCAAGAAACGTCTACCAGATGGTGAGAATATGATGTGGTTTGATATTGTAAGAATGTGATCAAATAAGTCAAAAGACATTCAAGTTTGCAAGTTTAGAGAATTATTTGTGAAATTCTTTTTTGTGCCGTTCTGTACAAGTGTCCCATCATCCTTGATTTATTTTATTTGTTAAAAAAAACCTCTCAGTAAAATGAGGAGCTTGTGGATTTTTTTTGTGATTGCCAGTCTAATATCTAAAGTCTAATGAGATTTTTCTTGTAATAACTGAGCATAGTAAGCGTTTTGCAGTTTAAAAAAACATTTGGGTTTATGTTTTACATGAATCGTCTTTATAATAATAATAATAATCCTTGCATTTAATATTGCTTCACAGAATATACTGTAAGTGAATTGACTGTATATTTTGGATCTAGAACCCACCAAAATGTGTTCTTTGTGTTATTTATCTTAGGAGTTCTGAAGGTGTAAACAGACTTGTTATGGACTCCACAAGAGGTGGCTCTCAACCCTTTGTTGGCCTAGCCTTTAAACTGGAGGTACTTCTGTATTTGTGCAAATATAATCGACTTGTGCATAGATTTTACACGTGAAAATCCAGGAAGCATCTTAAGGATGGCTTGTTGAATTATAATGCTGAGTTGACCTCTCCCCATCCACTCCTAAATGTGCTATGCATCTCTCAAAGACCTGGCTTTGTCTGACAATGTTGTTGTGTTAATGTAGAATAAGCTGTTCTTTTAAGCTGAGTGGTTGGGTGTTCAGCCGACAGTGGGCTGGCAACTCCAGTGGAAAAGCACCGTCCGTTGGTTATTGTGGGAGTGATCTAACACTTTGAATTGCAGTTGTTTTTTTTTGCATGTTAGGGCACGATGCCAGCATTTGAGTGGGTTGCGACATCTGAATGTCCTGAGATTTCCGATGTAATCTGTCTTAAATTTTTAAAAAACAAGGGCAGCATTTCTTTGCAGCTCAGCTGACTCTGTGAAGTTATTTGTTAATTTGCACTTACTATAATACCACATTAAGAATAGAATGCACACCACTGTGTCCTTCTATGACTTATTAATAAATATTTGATCAGCAGTATTTTGAAATCAGTGAGAATAGTGGTAAAAGGATGTGCCCTTTGCTCATTGTTCTTCCTTTGATTTGCTCAGGCTGGCCGATTTGGACAGTTAACGTACATTCGAGTGTATCAGGGTATGCTTAAAAAGAGTGAATATATCTACAACACACGAACTGCAAAGAGGATCAGAGTCCAGCGTTTAGTCCGAATGCATGCTGATCAGATGGAGGTACAGCTTCTAGCTGATCGCACTTCATATTTTTCTTCCCCCTCCCGCCCGCTGCCCACATTTTGGTAGATGGGATCTTTTTGTCTTATAATCAGTCCGTCCAACTCCAAATGTACATTTGTTTTATGATTGAGTCATTTCTGGACGAAATGCGAACCCGACATAAAAGAGGCAAAAAAGCAAAATGAATTGTGTTGTTGTTTTGCCAAACAGCTTTGCTTCGTGTGTAAAGGTGATCCTAAACATTCCGTTCTTGCTCTCCTTGGCCTTATTTTGAATGAAGTCTCTCCACAGACTTCTCTTCCCTGCTCTCCTCACTCAACCTTTCCCTACACATAAACTCCCCCACTCACAGTCACGGCCACCCACTCGATTTGGTGATCACCCGGGGCCTCAGTGTCTCGGATGTCACTATTACCGACAAGGCCATCTCCGACCACTACTTCATCTCCTTCACCACCTCCACCCCCCTCCCCACCTCCACCAGACCCACCACCATCTTCTACCGCCCTTGGAAGAAGTTACCCCCACAATCCCTAACCGATGCCTTGGAGTCCTCTGAACTCCTCTCCCTCTGGCCTTCAACCCTCACCGACCCCTCTTCTCCTCTCTCCCTCCTCCACAATATCCTCTCCTCCACACTCAATACTCTTGCCCCCATCACTTCCCGCACTGTCTCCTACTCCCGCTCCTCCCCCTGGTACACCACCCACCTCCGCTCACTGAAATGCCAGGTGCGGGCTGCTGAGCGCACCTTTGTCAAATCCGGCTTAACGGTCCACCGACAAATCTGGCTGGACCTCCTCAAAATTTACCGCTCCACTCTAGCCTCGGCCAAGTCGTCCTTCTACTCCAGGATAATCCTGGAGGCGAAGAACAACCCCAGGCTACTGTTTTCCACCACATCCCGACTCCTCCGTCCCCCCCGCCACCCCGCGCAGGTCATCTCCTCCAACCTTCACTGCGAGGAGATGCTGGATTTCCTTGAATCCAAGATCAAGGGAATCCGCTCCGCGGTCACTTCCCCTCCAACTTCCACCCACCACCCACCCCTTCCCTCCCACACTCCGACTCCTACCCATCCTCCCCTACACACCTTCGTACCCGTTTCCCCACCCTCTGTCACTGAACTCATCCTATCCCTAAAACCAACCACCTGCTCCCTTGACCCCATCCCCACTCCACTCCTTATCTCCCAGCTCCATTTTCTTGCCCCACACATCACTGACATCATAAACCTGTCCCTCTCCTCTGGCTCTGTCCCCATTCCATTAAAAACTGCCATCATCACGCCCACCCTGAAAAAACCCTCCCTTGATGCGTCGCAGCTATCAAGCTACCGGCCCATCTCCAACCTCCCCTTTCTCTCCAAGGTCTTGGAAAGAGTTGTCGCCTCCCAACTGCGCTCTTTCCTCTCCACCCATTCTCTTTTTGAACCCCTTCAGTCAGGTTTCCGTGCTGCTCATAGCACAGAAACTGCCCTGGTCAAGGTCACCAATGATATCCTGACCATCTGTGACCAGGGCTCCCTCTGTCTCCTCGTCCTCCTCGACCTATCGGCAGCATTCGATACGGTCGACCACACTATCCTACTCCACCGCTTGTCCTCCCACCTCAACCTTCAAGGCACTGTCCTTGAATGGTTTAGGTCGTACCTTTCTCACCGTCTTCACTTCGTCTCAACGAATGGCTTCTCCTCCACCCCCCGTACTGTCTCATGTGGTGTCCCTCAGGGCTCTGTCCTCGGTCCCCTCCTCTTCACCCTCTATATGCTCCCCCTTGGTGACATCATCCGCAAACATGGGGTTAACTTCCACATGTATGCGGATGACACCCAACTCTACCTTTCCTCCTCTACTCTCAACTCCACGACCACCGATGTCCTGACAGCCTGCCTGTCCGACATCGAGTCCTGGACGAGAGACAACTTTCTTCAGCTCAACGTGCAAAAAACCGAGGCCCTCCTGATTGGCTCACGTCAGCGCCTCCGCACCTCAGGCGCTGACACCATCAGCATCCAAGGCTGCACTCTCCACCTCTCAAAGCCAGTCAGGAACCTCGGCGTTTTGTTCGACCCTGAGCTGTCCTTTCTCCCTCACATCCGCACCACAACTGGCACCGCCTTCCATCACCTCCGGAATATCGCCAGATTACGGCACTACCTCACCCCTCACGCTGCTGAAACCCTGGTTCACGCCTTTGTCACCTCAAGGCTGGACTATGGGAACTCTCTCCTCGCCGGCCTTCCCGGCACCTCCCTCCACAAGCTGCAGGTCATTCAGAACTCTGCAGCTCGTGTACTGTCCCGCACCAGGCTTCGGGACCACATCACTCCCACCCTCGCTCGCCTCCACTGGCTCCCCATCCCCCAGAGGATTGATTTCAAGATCCTCATCCTCACCTACAAGGCCATTCACGGCCTTGCTCCCTCCTACCTCTCCAACCTACTATCCCCCTACCTACCTGCCCGTACCCTCCGTTCCTCTGGCTCCGGTCTGCTCCACGTCCCCCGCCCCAACCGCCCTACTATCGGTGGTCGGGCCTTCAGCCTCTCAGCCCCGAGGCTCTGGAACTCCATCCCCCAGTGCCTTCGCCTTGCTTCCTCCCTTTCCTCCTTCAAGGCCGGTCTCAAAACCTTTCTCTTTGACCGTGCCTTCAGCTCCCCTCTCGACTCTCTTCCTCCTCCTCGCTCCCTCCCTTCCCTCCCCTCACCCTGACCATTTCCCCCCTCCTCTCTCCCTCCCTTCCCTCCCCTCACCCTGACCATTTCCCCCTCCTCTCTCCCTCCCTTCCCTCCCCTCACCCTGACCATTTCCCCCCTGCTCGGGTCATGACCCAACTGTGCAGCGCCTTGGGACGTCCTCCTGACGTGAAAGGCGCTCTATAAATGGAATCTTGTTGTTGTTGTTGTTGTTGTTGAAGCCCAAAGCAAATTTTGGAATCACTATTTTATCTCTTCAGCCTTTTGGATTTGATGTCGGCTCGACTTTCATTTTTTTTTAATCCACTCTGTCGCTTTTTTTCTGAGCCTGAGTGAAATTTCACCCCCTCCCCATCCCATTGCCAGTCCTTGTTTTATTCTTACTGTTTATTTCCACCCTCTCTGAACAAGAGCTCTGCTTTCTCTTTGGGATGCTGATTGGCTTACTGTGGACTTCCAGCATTTCTGTTTTGCATTTCTGGTGCCAGACATTTTCTTTGATTTTATAAAATATTCAAAAGAATGAATACAAAGTTGATGACTCTAGTGTAGCCTACCTTAATAATATATAATAATAATGTTTACATTTAATTATAGTGCTTTATCATGTACTCGAGACATTTCAAAGGACTTCACAGGATTTTACTGTGAAGTGCGATGATTTTGTAACTATAGATATAATTGTGCATTTACAATTCTGTTTTTTTTAAAATTAAATATTGAATTGACTTCCTCACATTTACAACTACATTTGAGGTAATTCGGCTGTGTCATAATATAGGTATAACATTAAAATTGTATCAAAGGGAAGCCTCATATATGAAAGTGTAACACTGTAGATGTAGATGTTATTTAGTTTTCTAACTCATAAATGCTTATAAATACTTGAGAGTTTGACTTGTTAATCATTTGGTTTATTTATAACTTTGTATTTGCTGTATTTTATTAATCCACGAGTGTTTGTGAGATATTACTGCGCGCAATTGACTGCCGCGTTTCACCCACAGAATATACAGTCAATTCAGTTTACAGTATATTCTGTGAAGTGCTTTGAGATGTCTCAAAGATGTAATAAGGCCCTATATCAAATGTAAGGATTATTATTATTATTTCCATAAACAGCATTTTATTTTGAATTGACATATAGTTTGATTTGCTGCACATGGCATGTCAATTTTGGAAACAACGATTAAATAATTAATTAGAATCATTTGGCTTTTCAGTCTGTTCCCAGTGTGTTCATCAAAAGCATTTTTTGAGGGAGAAGATAGGTTTGAAAGGGGTTAAGTCTATTAACTTTGTTTATATAAAAGCTTACTTTTCTTGTATTTTTTCCATGTAGGATGTTGAGGAAGTGTATACTGGCGATATCTGTGCCTTGTTTGGGATTGATTGTGCTAGTGGTGACACATTTACTGCTAAAGCCCTCACCCACCTATCAATGGTAAGAAAAAGAACATTGCATAACAACATTTATAATAATAAAAATAACAAAAAGACTGCTTTTTTAAAAAAAAAGATATTGGCTGTTATGAGGACTTCATTCCTAATCAAGCAAGAATAATAAACTGGTACAGCTGGTTTTGAGGCAGGAGAAAGTAAAGACATGTAAAAGCATATAGCAAGAATTTCACAGGCATGTAAAACTTCAAAACATAAAATGATTCCACTAAGAAAAGGGTACAGCAGCAGACCATTGCAAAATAACGTTGCAGTCTATCTGGCAAGATGATAACATAAAAAGTCTGATTCCACTGCCTCCCCCGGTTAGTCTGTTCCACATACTCATCTCCCCGGTAAAATAATGAAATCCGAACTGTCCCTTCACCTTCCCCCTCCTCTGCCTGACTCCATGTGCTTGTTCCCGCACAAAATTGACAGAAAAAACTGCAATCCTTAGCCTGTCCAAGAGGTGGGGTGGGCCATTTTGGGGGGGAAAAATGTATGTGAAAGTTATATACTATTCAGCAGATTATTAGAGCTACATTGGAGAGGTGAGGATTACAGGAGCTTATGTGCAAATTACCAGTGGAGCTGTAAAATGTGGAGAGAAGAAATCTCTTGTTCATCATAGTTGACTCCAGTTGATTAGAAATCTGTGCTTCTTTAACGTTTGTTCATAATGAAAATGCCCCGAAGCGGTTGTAAACGATAAAGGTAATTTTAGTAAAAGCAGGAACTTTATGTGTGGAAATTTGTAACAGCAACTGGAGCAGAGAAAAATAGGTGCTGTGTAGCAACAGCTTTCATGAGGATCAACTATGTGCCCAGGTGACTTTGCTGCTAAAATATCCAGACATTTTCTGAGATAAAGAATAATAAATGGGGCAATATGGTTCATATTTTCTAACTCCTATGCCCTTAGTTGCTGCCTCAGCCTCTGCATTTCACTGCGAAAAATAGTATTTAATTTCAACAGAGTAAGAATGAGTATTAGTGGGCTGCCTAGAAGGCTGAATGGATTCATTTAATGCATGATTTAATCATGGGAATGTCCCACTTTCATCATAGGTCAGCTTCACCTTAGCAAGGATCCCGATGGCCCATTGCTGTTCTTCTTGTGTGTTAAAATGAACTTGATTGGATTGGGTGGCCTTTTGTAATTCACTGTATAATCTCCCAAAGTAAGAGTCGCTGTTCGGATGATGTACCTGAAAACTGTCTGCAGTCTGCAGAACTGTGGGGGGTGGGGGAATTCAGGAGGTCCTATAGTTTTATGAAAGAACACTGCAGCTATAAAAATACCTTCAATTCCTAAATTTAACTCTTAACTGGAGTTGTCGTTGTGTTGAAGTCCTATGGCTGTGAACCCTTGTTTGTGAGTGATTCTGTAACCACTGCACCTTTTCATTAAAAAGCTAAAGGTGCATTGCTGCTAAAGTCTATTTAGCTGCAAATATTGCATCACTGAACATCTGGACAGCACTTTTCAATAGTGATAACTAGGTTGACATTGGGCTGCAAAATTAAGCAAGTATTTTCTCCTGCACTTGTTGCTTGCAACCGTCTAGCAACATTCTAGCTTGCTGAACACAGAACAAAGATCAAACCTTGCACCTTTGTGACTCATTTTCCTTTGGACTGCTTATTTTGGTCAATTTATATATTTTTAAAAAATCAATTGTATTGCATTTCGAGGGGGCAAATATGCCATGTCACCAGTGGATGCTGATTAAGAATATTGACAGTTTAACGCCCTCCTCGCCGGTCTCCCATCCACTACCATCCGTAAAATCCAAATCATTCAAAACTCTGCCGCCCGCATTCTCACCCGCACCAAACTCCGCTCCCCGATCACCCCAGTCCTGGCCAGACTGCACTGGCTGCCTATCCCAGAGAGGAACAATTTTAAGATCCTCACCCTTGTATACAAGTCCCTACACTCCTCTGCACCCCCGACCTCTCTGACCTCCTCTCTCCTCAAAACAGTACCCGTTGCCTTCGTTCCTCCGGGTCTGGCCTCCTCCTCGTCCCCCGTGTCCTCCGCTCCACCCTTGGCGGCCGTGCCTTCAGCCACTGCGCCCCGAGGCTCTGGAACTGCCTTCCTCACTCCCTTCCCCTCGCCCCCTCTCTTCCTATTTTCAGGTCTCTGCTGAAGACTTTTTTTTCGACCGCGCCTTTGGTCACCTTCCTCCCCCTCCCCTTGGCTCGGCCCCGGGATCCGTTACTGTAAAGTGCTCTGAGATGCTGTCCGACGTGGAGGGCACTCTATATATCCAAGTTGTTGTTAATCAGTTGTTACACTTTATCATGTCTACGCTCTCGAAGACTCGATAAAGCGCTATATCAAATGCACAGTATATTATTATTAGGCATTGCACATGAGGAAATTAATTTCCATTTTGTCTCTGTGTGGTACCTCTGTCAGATAGCCTCAGAAATTTGATCTTGGTAGGAATCATAGACATTAACTGTGTCCTGATATTGCAAAGCAACACATCACTGCAATGGTAAACAGTAACTATCATCCACCTTTATCATTTAATTTTCCATTGGAAGCCAGAAAAGTTAAATATATTACTGAATTAATTTTTTTTGTTAAGGTAGGAATTTTTAAATCAAAGTCAAATTGATTTGTGCAAATCAGTATTTAATTAAAATTAAATTGAATAGTTACACCTCTTATCAGCAACAACATAACCAGATGGAAAATTGCTCGCATTTGAAAAGTGATTAAAAATTGGTAACTCTTAGAGAATTGCTAACTTTTATTGACTTCACAGCTGTTTCATCTCCTGTTAAACTGACACTGCGAAAGAGTGTTAAACTTACTCTACGAATGTGAACAGGGTTCACTGTGATTGACAGGAGAACCCCACATGGAAAGCGTAACAAATGTACTTTAGATTGATTTGATTGTTTTAAGTTACTGTATTTTAAAATGTTAGTTACTGTGACAGATCGGCAGTAAACTGGTGAGAGCCTCATTTCTGTGCTTCTGAGGTGCAATTAAGTAAAAGAAAAACTTACAATATTTGCCGGTTTTTGAATATTATCTCGAACGTATTATATGGATATTTAAACTATCTGCTTTTCCTTTTTTCCTGCCATCCAGGAATCTATTCATGTCCCTGAGCCTGTGATATCAGTATCAATAAAACCTACCAATAAGGTAAGTCGAGGCCAGATCCTTTCTAAAAGGTGTCTTCTTCCCCCAACATTGAATGTTACTGTTTTCGCCCACAAACATGCTGCACTTCGCTACACCTCAGTATATCCCGTGAAGAGCTTTGAGACATCTCAACGACGTGATAAATGCGAGTATTATCTGGTTTACAGGGATTAAATAAAAAAAAAGAGAAAGCTTTGTTGTTGCATGATGACCTTTTGATCGCAAAGCCAAAGTCAGTACCAAAAAGTGATTTGAGATAAGACAGGTAACAAGTGTCCAAAGATAGATATTCCGACTGTGTGCGTGGGCTCACGTTTGGTCTGACCCAGCGGGAGGAATAGTGAGAGAAGTGCTGTCTGTTAATCACTTTCAAACCAATAACAGGACGGATAGAGAGAGATACAAACAGAGAGAGGTACAACAACAACGAGATTACATTTGTATAGCTCCTTTCACGTCGGGAGGACGTCCCAAGGCGCTGGACAGTGACAGCATTTGTGGTTTAGAAATCGAGAAAATGTAAATGTGTATTCTATTCTGTTTCAGAATGATTTGGATAAATTTTCCAAAGGAATTGGTAGATTTACACGTGAGGATCCCACGTTTAGAATATTTTACGACCCCGAGAGCAGAGAGACGATTGTATCTGGAATGGGAGAATTACACTTGGAAATTTATGCACAGGTACCACATTCAGTCTTTTATTCTTTTACTCTTTATATTCTGAATTTGTGCAGTTTGATTACTGAACTCTTTATGTGTTAACTATATCAGTGTTTCAGAAGTTTAAAATACCTTTTAATTTGAGATATCTAGGGCTTACATAATATGACTTCAGAACAGTGACGTGATAGCAACCATTTATTTCATTTTAAGTGATCAGTTTAAGGAAAACTGCTTTGTACGTTTCATGCACAGAAATGCTATCAAACTTGTAGTACTAATTTATTTTAATTTCCAAGTTGGGGAAAGAAAAGTTTTTCTCGAGTGTCTGATGTTGAATCACCATGATTGAGTACAACATTTGATTTTAATGTTCCTCATATACATTCTTTGTAGCAACCCACTTTGTTGTTTAGGGCTGCGATGGTGTAAATTGACACGGTTTCCTTTAACCTGATTTGAATAAATGGTTTGCTGCCACTATCTTGGTTAGTTCAAATCAAACCATTTTTGTAGAACTTGCAAGGGTGAAAAAATGATAGTCCTGCCTCTCCCCAATAAAGATTTGTGTGTTTCACTAAGAGTAGATTCTTGAAGCAGCAGTTTATCTTGTGTTGTTTAGACCAGACGATTCCTGACTTCATCTCTAAAGGAAATGATGAGTATGAAATATATTTGATGTAAAGTACCATTTTGTGTCTCCCGTGAGCTATTTGCTTATCATCAACTCCAGGCAGTAAAAAGTGAGAGCGTTAGGTTATGCTGAATGGGCCAATCTTTCACAAAAGTTTATGACTGATGAGCCATGTTATTGAGAAAAGCTACCAAATCAAACTTTTTTTGATTTGAATGGTAACTGAAAATTTACATTGGTTTCTAAACAAATAGACAAATGTTGCTGTGATTATCTATGGATACTTATTGACAACAAAAGTCACTAAGTTCTGGTACAGGACACCAACTTTGAATCCTGCTCAGTGTTCAGCTGTCTTTTCCTCAAGGATATGCTTTATCTTGACCAATTGGTATTGGCTGAGCACATCTTCATTTATTTGTTCGATGTTATGAAAGTATCTGTTGTAAACTTTCCTTGACGGGTTTGAAGAAAGCAGACCTGTGCGCACCTAATTTGTGTTTAAAAATTATGTAATTTATATAACATTCAGAGACTCGAGAAAGAATACAATTGCCCGTGTATAATGGGAAAACCGAAAGTTGCCTTCAGAGAAACAATATCCGTACCTGTCCCGTAAGTATAGTTTTATTCCTATAAATTAAGTTAAATTGTTATTTTTTTAAATGTACTAAAGTACATTTCAGTACTAAAAACAATTGTTGTAAGAAGAATGGAAATACACATTTTTTTTAGATGAAGGAGTTTCTTTTTAAAAGTATTTATTGGCCTAATCGTTTCCTCCAGGCCTCCAAACAGCTCGGCTATTCTGTCACCTACTTATTTTAAGATGCTATCTAGTGACACGTCTTTGTTTCCAAATGTTCTGGTTTGCGGTTTAGATTGCGGTGCACTGGGGCTGCAAAATTGTAGCTGATGTTGAGTGAAATACATCTTTAGCAAAAACATTACCTAAAGCATATGCTTGTCTAATCATATTCTGGATGACTTTGCATGAATGATTCTTTGTATTGCCCTTGAACAGGACAGTTCTAAAGAATTGTTCAGTTACATAGTTCTTTTGCCAAAACATGAATCGCAATTCAGTGTGGGTAATGGAATATATATCTTTTGTGCTTTACTTTCATTTGATCATGTACTGTACTGTACTGCAGGCCAAGCAAGGCAAAGATCATTCTACGGCCACGTCATGGGCCAAATTTTAGTGAGTTTTGTTGACATTATTTGCAGAAAAAAATGTATGGATTAATCTGCTTTTTAGTAAACGATGCAATCTTGAATGACTGAAGCATTCATTGATTATGATTGATCCTCCACCTGCACGGATTAGTGAAAAATTAATGGAGATGGGCAACTCAAACTTCTGTTTTTGAGAACATTTATAGAATTGTGCTTACAATAAAAATAAGGGTATTTTGAATGCATTTCTTTATTGATGGTTAGCAATAAAACAATTAGCAATAATAGTACAGCATGTGTGTTGAGAATATTCGTAGTTTTAGTAATGTGACATTGCTGTAGTTCACTGACTAATCTACTGTTGCATACCATTTGGCTATTTATTTTATGATGATACTCTGCAACCTTTACACACCACATTTGAAGCCGCGAGTGTTAGCTGGAAGTTTGCATTCAGTTATATCATTGTAGTAAAGTTCTTTTTGAGAGGTTGAGTTATTTTTATATCCTACAATTGTAATATACATTCTGAGTAACTGACGTTTTATGGGTTGTTGCCGCTCAGATCATAGCAGATCCTTCTTCCATAGCTGACCCTTCGACCTTTTCGACTCCAGACCCTTCAACGAGATTTTCATGTTCAGGCACACAATGGTAATTCAGATTCAGTGGTAGATTTGGATACCAGATCACTTCGACAAAGCAAGTGACTATTTCCTATTCAGAGAAAATGTATTACTGGCATGTAATTGATGCTGGTAAAGTAACTGATTACCTTTAAAGGAAATTCTGTGGCCGCTAGAAATGGATTAACAATACCTGTGTCGGTATCTCGTGCAGAAGAACGACAAAGATGAAATCGAGGTATTTATCATTCCTTATCTGAGGGATTGGAAAGCCATTGTTTAATTAATTATATTAATGATATGAAAGAATTGGCAAGCAAAAGTACAAAAGTAATATTTTAAATGTTGCTCACCTGTTGGTTCATTTTCTGTAAACGGGCCATGTTATAGACTAGGCGTTCAGTGGACTTTTCCCACATGATATAACTCGCACCAATCGTAGCCAAGTGCCAGAAAGGCATCATTTCGGAATCTATCAATCCAAATTTACCTGAGCAGGGACGAAGAAAAGACGATAAAGAAAATCAAACTCGGAAATTATCTTACACTTCAAATAATTTAGTTTCACAAAAATACTCCTATTATTGTAACTTTAAATCATGCTGAACGGTTATCGTTGCTTACTGCTACGTGGCGCAGTAAACTTGAAGCTTCATACCAGGAATATTTGTCGCAAATGCAGGAATCTCCTGCTTCATTATCTTCAGGTAAAACTGAAGATCTTTCCTCGCCAGGTCTTTCTGGTATTGTTTACTTGTGTCGCAGTTTACATTTGTGTATGGTCTTGAGTTCTTTTTGTTGAAGATTACAATAGCTGTACAGTTGCCAATAACCTAGTGCAAGAAATAATTATTATAATTTTACAATTAGTCCATCCAGTTTTAGCTTTAGCCTTTATATCATTGAGTGGTTATCCCTTTATATCACTCTCATGTTTTTAGCATGTTTAATCATGTTTGGCAGAACAGTGAATGATTAACTTTTTTCTACCAAAAATGTGTTATCAAAGAAGAGAATGTACAACAACTTGAGTTTATATGGCACCTATCACACAGGACAGCATCTCAGACGTCTTCGTAATGATTGAACTCGACGCTCATTATAATATAATGTAAAATAAAAAAGGCTTCTTCTTTGACATAAAATTTGGTACAAACACTTGTAGGTACCATGGTATTGATGTGGCTATTTGATTTTCATACTTACATTTGTAGAGCTGTCTTTATTATCCACTTCAAATTGCAGATGGTGCTTGACTCCTAAATCTGGAATCACCTGTTGAAAAGAACATTCAACATCATCCGGCAAAAAGTATAATAATAATAATCCTTGCATTTGATTTAGTGTTTTTCACATCTTCTAGACATCTCAAAGCATTTCACAGAATATACTGGAAAGTGAATTGACGATATTTGTGGGTGAAACGCGGCAGCCAATTGCGCACAGCAGCGTCCCACAAACAGTCATGGATTGAAGTGACCAATTTATTATTGGGTTTTTTCTTGAGGGATTTTTATCAGGCGTGTGGAGTAAGGAAACTTGCCCAAGGTTTCACCCTGCTGGGAATCGAACCCAGGATTCTCGCTTGTTAGGCAAATGTTAGTAATTATTCAAATTATGTTCATTATTCAGTAATTATTCAAATTATGGTTTTAAATTATTGCATTCAACTTATTTCAAATTGTTATATTCAACAATTATAGCAAATTATTGTTTTTTGATGATTATTTTAATCCTAAAAATTGTATTTACAATTTACGGTGCATTATGTTCGCGATTGAGGAAACAAATATCAGGTTCGTTTTAGCAGTAAGTTCATTACAGTTTCAAAACAGTGATACAATAATCCTTGTATAATTTTATAACATGAACACATCGTTATAACATTGAGGTCTAATTTCTAATACTTTCTAATACATTTGTGCATTAAGTGTGAGGATAATTGGATCTCCTACAAATACACAGAAACTGCATTTTCAAGTAAATTCTAAGAAGCTCTTTGAGACATTTCGTCAGCGTGATAAAACTACAGCAAATGACTATTAGTTTATTATTGTTATAACCTCATGTTTGTGAAACTTCACGTCCAGCTAATCACTAATCCCGAGATCAAAAAAGGCCAGCAAACAAAAAAAATGGCTGTTTCCTGCTTGTTTTTTTTTGAGATATTCATTTCACGTAGCACCCTTACAATCTGCAAATTACGGCTACTTCCATACCATCACTTCAGACTATATTTGAACATATTTCCAAAAGATGAAAGTCAGTGTGCTTAACCCACTGTTCCAATGATTCTCTAACACTGAAATGTTTTTATGAAAGAAAGATTTTTGTGAAATTGTGCGGTGGAAAATGTTTGAACTGATAACTGATTCATTCAGTAACATTTGGTTTCATTCTTAAGATGTTGTTTGAAACTGAAATTTTTAATGCTTAAGGTTTGAAACAATGTAGAAAGTTCTTCGATGTCAAGTGGCGTGGATTAGAATTATAAAATGGGTTTTGTACTGGATATACAATTTAACCCATGTGGAAATCAAAGCATTTGGACTTTTTTCCAATTCTTCAACTCTTAGTAAAACTAAGGTGGATCAAGTGCAGATATCCAGTTTAACTGACTTTGAACTGAATAGCTGTAAGCTTTAAATATTTGTAACCAATAGTTTTCCATATTTGCTATCAATCTTTCATTAAGTTAAAAACAAGAAACTACTGTTGAATTACTGACTGCGTAGGCTAAAACAGAAACCAGAAAATACAATGTAAACTTCTTTCGTTAAAGTATGATTATCGATGTTAAAAAAAAAAATTGTTTCTAACCCACTATGTTGAAGTATAACAAGCTTTTATGTGTTCAGGTTCCAATTCAGTGAGGTTCTAATAAACAAAAGCGTTGGCATCTCCCTGTTTATGTGACACGCATTTTAATTCTGTGGTGCAACAATTCTGCTTGCTTTTTGAAATGTTCAACATAAATTGTGTTTTTCAACTTGGTAATCTTATTGTAAAGAGGGCGAAGAGCAACAGTGAATTTTCTATTTTAACTGTGCACAGTGTATGAAATAGTGTGTATTAGTTAGAACACAATTAAGTCGGTCATAATCGATACATTGTTAGGATACGAACGTTTAAGTTTTGCTCACTTTTTAAGTGTTCCTCTTTGGGGTTTTTTTTAAAAAAAAGGTTCTTACCTCGATGTAATATTTCGTCAGTTCATGTAGTGAGTAAACTGCATTGGGAGATCCATCTTGATAGTTCAGATAATGTACAGCCACTTTTGCAGCTAGTTCAGCATTGCGAAATGCCAGCTTTGATTTTGAGACACTGGAATAGTTCATAATTTTTGTTTCTCCATGTAATAATGGTAGGAAACAAGCAACAAAGCACAAAGCCACGTAGTACATGTTTGAGTGTACAAGTCCAGTTGAAGGGGGAATTTTTCAAGTAATCTTTGCTTATGAGGACAGAGTCGTTTGAGTAGTTGGGTAAGGACTGCCGCTCCCTCCCAGTCTTAATGATTTTGTTTCCAGGCAATAGATGCTGAGATTGTGATGTTTTATGGACTTTATCTTTAGAATTGAACCACACACACTATCAGACTTCTGCTTTTGCTCTGTCTCAGCTGCCAGTGATATTGCTAGGCTCTGAATGGAAGGTTGGCTTCATCTGATAATCTTGTTGTTTTGCTTCCTAAAAAGAGGTGGTTTCCTTTAACTTCTGAACTTGAGCCAAAGTTCATGTTTATAGGCTAAATTCTCAAGTGAATTTTCCATTTATTTTATATGTTGATGTCTCACCAGTGAAAAGGACGGAAATTCACTGCACTTTCCTGTGAATTTTTACAAACTTTGCCTTTTATTAATTATATGCATTTAATTATAAATATCTTGATGAAATATTTTGTAGTATTGTCCTTTTATTATGTAGGATAAGATTTACATAATGTTGAGTCAAGAAAGTCATTCAACCTATTAAAGATTTGTGGTTATTCCAGATATTCAAACTTTTACTTGACTGAAATGGTTTTATGTGCACATCAGATTATTTCAACTTTTTGAGAGCGGATTAATTTCAAAATTAGTAACAAAAGGATGGAATTATTAGTCGTACTAAGTTCTCATGCTGCAGTAGAAAGCATGCAAAATTAGTATAAGAAATAAGGACATCCTAACCAATTACTTCACCATGTTTATAACTGGTTTTGCTCTTTCAAACTACCCAAAACTAGTTGCGTACTGTGGCAATTTTGCAAAACATCCGTCTGTAAATGGTAAGCAATTGTTATTTTTTTTAAAAAAGTGAAGTACATTAGATAGGGCTGAACACATTTTGTTTCATTTGAGGGTCTTGAATGGATGAATTAATTGGAGGAGATAAATTTTGACAAATACAATAGGCCAAGTTGGCTCTTTACTAGATTTCTCTTGTCCTTTGTTGATTCTGGTTTACAAAGAGAAGTAGGAGATAGCTTCCAGTGCGTGATGATGTGGTTTCATCAATATATTTTGCCCCAATCTCCAAACAACAATCCCATTCCTATAATTCTTTTTATTGTTTATAACTGACTTCCGTAAAACTTGCCCAAAATATTCAGTGCATAACAGGAAGTTCAGCTGTTCCCTTTTTTTCTCTGTACAACTGAGAAAAACAAAGAGTTTGGTTTTGAACTTCTTGGATTTGACACACTTTGATGTGTGTTCATTTATTAGTATAAAAACTAATTTTTGATTCTGAAGAAGCGAGTAAGTTTATTTGCATTCCTCTCATGGTGAATTAGTTGGATACCGACTAATTCATATTCAACGTGCTGATACATACCATTCCCGGCCTAATGTGATTCACATTCCTTTTATAATGGATTCAGTTGGTGAGGTGGGTACCAGCAGCAGTAAACTTGCTGATGCGTAGCCCGTTCACAGCTTAATTTAATCTGCATTCCTTTTATAATGGAATCTATTGAGGAGGTGGGTACCGGCAGCATTAATAGATACTGTAGTTAAGTCACAATTGAACAGAAGTTTTAACCCTACAGTATTCTGGGCTCTGGCTCTTGTTGGTCTGCCATTTTCATTGCAAGGAGAGTTCAGCAGCTGAGAACTAACTGTTCATGAGATTGCAGAAGGGTAAATCTTTGAAAAATCATGTTTGAGAGCTCCAGTTCTGTCTGCCAAATCTTCCTCAAAGTTTGGGGCTGCACAGCACAAATAAGCAATTTAATAAAAATCACTGGCTTGTCTGTTACTTAGCTGTTGTTGCTATTGAGCTCTCAGGACGATTCCAAGTATATTCATTTTTATAAGGATAGGTCATTTATCTGTAGCCGCCTAGCAATTGCTTGACCCACATCATGCTAATTTTTTTAAAAACTCAAAGGTATTTGTATATTATGGGTTAGATAAAGAACTGAAGTGTAATAATTGTAATTAACTTGTCTGCCGTTTCCTTTTGCCATTTTTTTCCAGCTTTGAATTTACCCACAAGAAGCAGTCTGGTGGTGCAGGCCAGTATGGCAAGGTTATTGGTGTGCTGGAGCCTCTGGAGCCGGAAGACTGCACAAAGCTGGAATTTGTTGATCAAACTGTAGGAACAAATGTACCAAAGCAGTTTGTGCCAGCCATTGAGAAGGTAAAGGAGCTAAACAATACAGCTTTTGCCTCCTAAGCCTCAGATGTGAAAGAACAATGCGATATATAATGCGCTGCCCAGGTCCACACCATATCTATCCTGACACGAGAACAAAAAGTCAACACTTTTTATGTTGCTCAACAATGGCATCTCATTGTAATGAGCTTATGCTGTAGACCTTGCAATTGGTGGTGTTCCCCCCCACTCCACCCCCCCAAAAAAAAACGTTTGGCTGAAATTATAAGCAAGACATCTATGTAGTCTCAAAGAAAAACAGTTGTTTTGCATTGCTTCCAATTGCTTTAACTTACCTTGATGAGCCATCTGTGCTCTTCAGTCAGGATGTCATTGAATTGAAATAAGGAGTGTGTGTGAACTTATATTTGTTTTTAAAATGTTTTGGTCTACATTACTTTCACAGGGTTTCCTTGAGGCTTGTGAAAAAGGCCCTCTTACAGGTCATAAGATCTCTGGTGTACGTTTTGTATTGCAAGATGGTGCCAATCATATGGTGGACTCCAATGAAATTTCCTTCATCAGAGCTGGGGAAGGTGCTGTTAAACAAGGTTTGTAAACTCGTTGTAGATTAGAATTGCAAACAATGTTCACAGTTCTTCCCATCTGGCCAAGAAAAGAAACGTACAAAATTTCCGCACAAAACCTCGCTAAATGTAATACAAACTATACAGACAATGCGAATGTTTAAAACTACAAATCTTCTTGCAGACATACTAGAAGCACTTGAATTTGTGCATTTTTGCGTGTCGCAAAAGTTATTGAAAATAATTTCCCTTGAAAATATTTAAAATAAATGTTATTATACTTTAAAAAATTTCACATTATGTTGCAGAGACTAGGCGCCTTGGGACGTCCTCTCAACGTGAAAGGCGCTATACAAATGTAATGTTTTTTAGGAAAAATCAATTATGTTAAATGAATGTCGTAAAATATTTTCCAGTCTATTAAACTCTAGCTATGAAAAATGAGAGTGGATCAATCCAGGTAGTATTGTCACCATTACAGTGTTTTGGTGTAAATCTATCAAAGCAGTAGTTACTTATTGATTTGTTTTGCATCCCTCAGTTATGGAAAAGGCCCATGTGGTTATTCTGGAGCCAGTCATGTCAGTAGAGGTCGTAGCACCGATTGAGTTTCAGGGAACAGTCATTGCTGGAATCAATCGTCGTCAAGGTATCATCACTGGTCAGGATGGAACAGATGAATACTTTACACTTTACTCTGATGTATGTATTAAGTTTGTTCAGTTTTATATCATTGAAAGTGTCCCCGTACTATCACAACTTTGCTTATAATTGAAGTTTCATCCACAAAATATGGTGTACGGTCAATCTTTACAGGATATTCTGTGAAGCGCTTTGAGATATCTCAACGGCGCGATAAGGCGCTATAATAATAATAATCCTTGCATTTGATACCTAACCCTAAGTGCTGTTCTATACCAAATGCAAAGATTATTATTATAAATTATGCAAAATATTGTTTTTGTTTGAGATGTGTTTGCTTCCGGTATAACTGACTCTTTCTACCATCTCATTTTCTTTAAAGAAAGACTAATTTTCAAGATAAAGGACAGGGTAAAGTGGTGTGGGAGACAAGTGAATCTGTCAAGAGTGGTAAAATGTTTTTTTTGTTTTTCAGGTTCCATTGAACAACATGTTTGGATATGCTTCTGAACTTCGTTCTTGCACAGAGGTATATTTGACTGCATATGGCTTCTTTAAATACTTACCCAGTAAATGTATTTAAAAAAATGAAAAGCTAGAAATTGATGTGAAATCTTTGAAATGATCAAGTCTGCAGAACAAAGGAAAACCTTTTCAAGCTTTGTAACTTTAAATGAGTTTGTAATGATGTTTTCCAGGGTAAAGGTGAATACACCATGGAATACAGCAGGAATCAGCCCTGTTTGCCCAGTGCACAGGATGAATTGGTCAATAAATACCTGGAAGCCACAGGTCAACTTCCAGTCAAAAGGGGCAAAGCCAAGAACTAAAGATCATTCCTTACTCGGCTGCTTTTGGGGACTTTCAGTACCACATTAGACAAATGGATGATCGTATTCAGCATACATGTGTGACTGCAAAAAATAAATTGGTTGGGCAGCACAAACAGACCACTCTGCAGTTATGTCCAATTTTATCAAAGAAAAACTATGTCAGAAATAGCAAACTCGTGCAAAATCTGCAATCAGAAACTGAAAGACATCACCTTGCACTCAGCAAATCATTGGGGGCTAGTCCAGATGCAGACCATTGAACATCATCAGGAAGACTGATGTTTATTCATCTGAGCACTTTGGCCTCAAAGCAACTTGATTTCATTTTATCACACCCAATGTCTGTTGAAAAGTCATTAAGGAATAACAGAAAATCCACAGCATTTTCAGGAATTCGTCTACAAATGTTAATGTCAACTTCAAGTAACCTCATACTTGATTTAGCTATTAGCTTAATGTGCCCCTAATCTTCTCATTTATCAGCATTGTACAGAATTCTTGATCCAAGCAAAGTCTATTTATATATGAAATCTTGATCCAGACACGAACTATACCGTAGATGTTCTGTACTTTTTAATGTTCTTTTTATGCACTGAAACATCAATTACAACGGTGTACTTCCTTCTTTTTTGAACAGAGTTTTATTTCCACTAACCATATGATTCACTGTATCATTACAATTGCCCTTATATTTATTGTAAATTCTAAAAATAAGATTTGTATTTTTAAAATCATTTAAGATAATTTTCTGTGTTTCAAATGCGATACTGTCAATTTTATCAGATCATGTAATTTGTTGCTTTTCGCCCAGTCAGTTCAGTATATTCTGTGAAGAGGTTTGAGACATCTCAACGACGTGAAAAGGCACTATATCAAATGCAAGGATTATGATTTTCAGTTCTGGTTTCCAGTGTAATGATGTCTGCTGTTGTCAGTTAAGGCATTAAACCAAGGCCCCATCTGCATATTCAGGTGAATGTTAAAAATCTGGTGACATTATTCAAAAAGAGAAGGGAGTAATTCCTGGTCTGGCCAACATTCTCTGAAATAAATTGCTCATCACTTCATGACTGTGTATGCCCAGTTTGGCTGCTGTGTAGCCTTTAAATACACGATCACTTCACTTTACAGCAGTTACCTTTGTGACCTTTCAACATTATAGATGATATATCCAATGTAACTATTATTAGGACTTGATTTGTATGCCCTACTTACTCATATTATCTTGCTCCAAATGGAAGAAAAGATCAAGTTATTTCTTTACCCTGTATGTAAGATAATAAGCATGACTTTGGGTACAGCAGTCAGCACTTTGTCCTTTCCTTTCAGCACTTGGGTCTCAATTAAGTTCAAAATGATGGCAAACTCCACGGGATTTCGAGAGGTATGTCCCATTGATCTTCATGAGTTTGTGATTTTCATGATTTGTTTTCATGGAAGAACTGTCATATCTGAGGATGTTATATTCAAGAACTAAATACTTATGTAATGGTAAATTAACAGTATAGTAGCTGTTGCTAATTTTGTTTCTACACTTTGACGAAGGACAGCCTGAAGATTAAAAAACTGATGAAATTTATCGCTCTTGCTAAATATCTGAAGTTGACAAAAACTGTACCTTTTAAAATGGGGAAAGAGAGTAATACAGAAGTTTTACAATATCCTTTCTAAAAAAGAAAGTTTAGAGCAATTCAAGCTTTTTGAACCACAAGATTTGAGAGACCAGTGACTCATTTTGCTGAGTTTTTACACAAAGGAAAAGGCAGACAAAAGGACAGGAAGGTATTTTTCCATGACGCCCATCCTTGTGGATTGTAGGTTAGATTTTTTTTAATTTCGGTGCCAAGTTATGAATAATTTTAGGCTGTTAACTTGCACTGTTTGGAAACTAATTGAAAACACCACAGTTTTGCATGCAAAGAGTATAGAGCGATGCAAGCTTGTTTTATGTTGGAATCCAAGTCACCAGAAAACAAAGTCTTCCATCCTTGTTGGAATCAGCATTCTGAGTATATTCATCTTAAAATTTTAAATTATCTTAAAAAAATATTTATCTTTAAATTTTAAGATTTTAAAATCTTAAACTGGAAAATTTAATTCTATTCATCTCTAGAATCCTATGTAAGTTTCTTGCTTAGTTTTGTTGAAAAATTAACTTGGGGTTCTCTTTTTGGATGTTAAATCAATCGACACCAGGGATTTTCTCTTATTGTTTATAGCAAAATAAATAATACAATTGCACTTTTCCACTTTGCAAAGACGTGCTGTAATTCAGCACAGCGAAAAAATATAAAAAGCTGCACACGGTGCACGGATACGTTTGGGCCGAAGCCCAAATCTGGTAGCTCTGTCCTTTTTTTTTATGACCACGGCCTGTGACTGATGCTGTTCTGGTACTTTCTGTTCTTTGTAACCTGTTAAAAGATGTTGGCTTTCACAGTAGAGGGCACGCAAAGCCGGTCGGTGATCACAGAGTTCTTTCACTCAATAGCATTATACGCAACACGATTCAGTGCGTGCGCAAAGATCGCCACACCCCAGGCAGTAAATACTGCGGTGGTGTTGTCGATGACACCGCCTGTGAGAATGAAGTTTAATGGAACTGAGGATTCAGTTATTCCACACGGAGCACGTGGACGTCCAGAAGAGGTGAAAAGCGCTGCGTCAAAGGCAAGGAATATTATAATATGGAGGACGACGAAAGCTCCGCACGGGGAATAATATGGGACCCGGGTGGGCTTCCGCACGGAGTCATTCTCAAAGAACACAATCTCGAGAGATAATGTAACAGAAACCGAGGGGGAGTGAGGGGGGGTTGTGAGGAAGAGAGGGGTTGGGGGTGAGGGGGGGGTATTTGGGGAGTCAGAAGGAGGGCAGTTGGAGGTGGGGTTGGGGGAGGGAGGGGGGTTGGGGGTGAGGATGGTTGGGGGGGAGAGGGGGTTGGGGGGGAAAGGATGGTTGGGGGGGGAGAGGGGGTTGGGGGAGAGGGGGTTGGGGGGGAGAGGATGGTTGGGGGGAGAGGGGGTTGGGGGAGAGGGGGTTGGGGGGGAGAGGATGGTTGGGGGGGAGAGGGGGTTGGGGGAGAGGGGGTTGGGGGAGGGGGTTGGGGGGGAGAGGATGGTTGGGGGGGAGAGGGGGTTGGGGGGGAGAGGGTTGGGGAGAGGGGTTGGGGGGAGAGGATGGTTGGGGGAGAGGATGGTTGGGGGGAGGGGGGTTGGGGGGGAGGAGTTGGGGGGAGGGGGTTGGGGAGGGAGGGGGTTGGGGGAGGGGGTTGGGGGGAGAGGATGGTTGGGGGGGAGAGGGGGTTGGGGGGAGAGGGTTGGGGGAGAGGGGGTTGGGGGGAGAGGATGGTTGGGGGAGAGGATGGTTGGGGGAGAGGATGGTTGGGGGGAGGGGGTTGGGGGGAGGAGTTGGGGGGAGGGGGGTTGGGGGAGAGGATGGTTGGGGGGGAGGGGGTTGGGGGGGAGGAGTTGGGGGGAGAGGAGGGGTTTGTTCCAGTGAAGAACAACACGATCTCACACCCAATACGACAACACTACAACAACACCGAGGGATCAGTGGGCGCTTCACCTGCTGACGCCCCCGTCCCCGCCCGCGTCTCCAGGAAGTGGCTCTGCCGTCTCCAGGAAGTGACGCGAGGCCGGGAGGCGGGGCCGCGGGGGGCGGGGGTGGGAGGGAGGGAGGGAGGGAGGGAGCGGCCCTCCCTCAACGGGCGGGTCATCACGTGAGTCAGTCACAGGACCCGGGAGGAGCGGAGCGAGCGATGGAGGAGACGGAGACCGACACCGACACCGAGAGGGAGAGCGGCGGCTCCGGGAGTCTGACCGGCGGCGGCGGCGGCTCCTCCTCCTCCACTCCGCTCTGTGACCCGACCCGAGGCCTCCACCGCCTCCTGGTGCTCGTCCTCATGTGTTTCCTGGGCTTCGGTGAGACTCTGACTGACTGACTGACTGACTGACACCGTGTGGCCCTCATCACAGCGCCGGGAAAGCCTCACAATAACAGCGACCACAGAACAGCTGTCAGAGTAACGATATAACTGTAGTAAACTATATCATCATAATAATAATAATAATAATAATAATAATAATATCACGGCGGGTTTCCTTTTGTGATAACGCCAGTTAAAAAAAAAAATCCTTGTGTTTGCCATAATCATAATAATAATATAATAATAGTAATAATCAGTGCATTTGATACAATAGTAATAATAATCAGTGCGTTTGATATTATAATAATAACAACAACAACAATAATCATTGCGTTTGCTACCGCGCCTCACCGCGTCGTCGAGACGCCTCAAAGCGCTTCGCGGGGTACACTGTGGAGTGGAGTGACTGTGTATTTTGTGGGCAAAACGCGGCAGCCAATTGCACACGGCAGCGTCCCCCGTCGTCCCCCCCCCCCGTCCCCCCCACACACACACACACACGCACAGTCGTGGATTGAAGTTATTATTTGTCTATATTTTTCGGGAGCCATTATTACTGCCCTCACCCCCCCCCCCCCACCCACCACCACACTGAGAGCGATCCTATATTTATTTGGGGTTTCGTTGTCCGTTGTAACTGCTTCTGTTCCACGTACTTACGGCGACGACAACAGCTATAATATAATAATAATAATCCTTGCATTTGATATAGCGCTTTTCACGTCGGGAGGACGTCCCAAAGCGCTTCACAGAACACACTGTAAAGTGAATTGACTGTAAATTTGTGGGCGAACGCGGCAGCCAATTGCGCACAGCAATGTCCCACAAACAGTCGTAGATTGAAAATGACCAATTAATTATTGTGTTTGGTTTTGGAGGATTATTATTAGGCTCTGTGTGGAGTAAGGAAACTTGCCCAAGGTTTCGCCCTCTGCCTGGAATTGAACTCAGGTCTCTCACTTGCAAAGCGAGTGCCTAACCACTGAGCTACAGGACTGCCGTCTACATCGCGCCCCCCCCCCCCGCGCAGGGTGGCAGCTCGGGGCGCTTGACAGTAACGGAGCGCGCGGAGGTGGACGTTGGCACGGTCAAAGGGGAAGGTCTTCCGGTGTGATCCGATCTGATAATGGGGAAGGACAACACCTCGGTGAGAATGGCTGGTTTCGTGCTGTGTGCAAGGCAGAGGGACGGAGGGGGCAAGTTTCGGGAAGCGCGGCCAACCACGGCGGAAGGGAGGGCACGAGGGTCAAGCAGGAGGCCGTCCTCTTTACTGACCCTTGTTTCCTTCCCCCCACACCCCCCCCCCCACACACCCCCGACTGGCCCCAACTTTGAGCTCACGGTCCAGGTTGACACTCCAGTGCAGTGCTGGGGGTGTAGTGTATTGTCCGAGATGCCGTCCTTCGCGTGAGATGTTAAATTGAGGTCCATCTGCCTGTTCAGATGGTCAGTAAACGCTTCGTTAGGTCCTCCCACTGTACAACTGTAAACTGGAATGTAAATTGTATTGGATGTTAGAGATTCTATGGCATCTTGAGTGTAGTGTTAAATAATAATATAATAATCCTTGCATTTGATATAGCACTTATCATATCCCCGAAACGACTCAAAATGCCTTACAGGGTTTACCATAAAGTGCAGTGACTTTTTTTTGTAGACAAACCCAGCAGCTGATTTACACACAGCACGAAATCAGCCATTTCACTTAGTTGTTGATTTCTATATTCTCATTTAGTTGAATCTTAAAATCAGTCTGTCAATGTTTCTTTCAATTCTGTTAATGAAATCATATCAGCTATCGTTTAAAGATCATTCCATTAATATGTCTTAAGAATATGAAGGTTCTGTTGAAAACCTGGTTTCTGAGCAGTTCACTTATCATCAGAAAAATCAAATCTAAACAATTTGTAAATCTATTGAACAATTGTAAGTCCCGCTGAACAATTGATTAGACTTTTGTTTGCGATAATGATTGATACAGCCTATGTTTCATGAAAATATTTACATGAGCACTTAGTTAAATACAAAATGGCAACTCAAATTTACAATAAAAATTGTAGCATTGTTTATTTGTAATTCTGGATGAATTGGTGAAATAAACTTACTTCCCCTTGTTTGCTCAAATGATTTATTCAGTGACTATATAGCCATTGAAACACTGGGTTTGATCCCTCACCTGTGTAGAGGATCTTGCTAACCTCAGTGCACAAGGTTTAAGTAGAGGAACATCATTCAGCTCCTGATAGATATCCAGCAAACTATTAGATGTGTGTTTATGTTGAGTGAGTTCGGGGTGAGGATTGCCTCCATCATCCTTTTGCGTTTGAAGAAATCAGGGCCAACAATCAGCGTTAATAATTGCGTATGAATAATGCCATCTTGATGAGGTGCCGGACCAGCCTCAGTACAAATATACTTCAGCAGAAGAGGAAAGGAGTCTGTGAGAAAGTGTTATTGGGTGAAATATTTTTCTTTGTTTAACTACACCATGCAAATCTGAAAGTAGAGGCAACTGACTTGGCCAGCGGGACCCAACAAGCCGCCAGGAAGAATGAGCAAATGTGTTTGTGCGCGCGCTGGAATTGTTCGAAGTGTGGGAGATTGTGTCTCACCCTGTGGCACAAAGTGCGGAGTATCGAGACTTAATTGGCTTTGTTGGTTTGGGTAAACTCATTTTTTTTTTATTTTCCTCCCTTCAGGTAGCTATTTCTGTTATGATAATCCAGCTGCACTACAGACTCAAATTCAGGGGGTAAGTATGGAAATGTTGAAGTATTGAAAAATCATAGCAATCATTAAAACAAAGATTCATCAAGACTGGGAAGGTTGATATAGTTTGTTGTGTCTGTAACATTAATATACGATGTTATTATTATTATATGATATTTGATTTAATGAATAAAAATCAATCAGGTTCGCCAGGAGAATTTGATCTTTCTCCAAATGGATACCAAGCTTTTTTTTTTCATGTCATCTTGATTTTTGTATTTTATAATTCGCCAGAACATCAGTGAGAGTAATCAAACGTTTATCTTAACAGGTTATGAAAGTTAATACTGTTACATTCATGCAGCTATATGCATGGTATTCATGGCCCAATGTTATCCTCTGCTTCTTTGGAGGATTTTTACTGGACAGAGTGTTTGGCATACGGTAAGTCTCATTTTAAACCGTTTTCCACCTGTAGCATTCATACTCAACAACTAGAACAGGTTATCAGGAAGTGTGTTTGGAACTGGACTTTTAGAAATGGATCAATGTAGGATGACGTTTCTGGTGGTAGATATCTAATACAAAGTCATTTTATTATTCTGTGCATTTATGATTGACTGCTTCCTCTTTAATATTTAAACATCAAAGTTTGCTGTTTAGTTCTTTGCTGGTCGAAGAAAGAGACAAAGCAACTTTCTGCCTGACATGTTGGTTTCTGTCTTCAAAGAGTTGGAAAAGGAATGTCAAAATTGTCTGAGTAAAAACGAAAGGGGAAGCTTTCACGCAATAACAACAGTTAGTTTCTGTTCGTCTCTGCAACTTGTTTGATTTGTAACTTAATTAAAGATTAGTATCAAGTTGCAACTGAGACTTCATTAAAAATGATGAAGAAGCCATTGAAACCCAAATTGTTTGCAATGGTTTTTTTATATATGGAACATTTACAGAAACTATTTGAAAAGCAGCAGAAAGAACTTCTCTATCTTAAATGAGAACTCAGAATCAAATGTTCAACAAAGTGCTGATGATATACCAATAAATGAAGTATTTTTTAAAAAAAATAAACTTAATAACCTGCTTCAGATCATGTGTTTTGAATCCAAGAATAAAATCTTTGTCTCCAGACGTGGAGGGTTTCTATTGAACAGAGAGTGAAGAGTACTGCGACCATCATTTTATGTAATATATTGGATTATTGTAAAATCCAGTCTATGGTTTGCTTCAGGGAATCAATTGAGTCTGAATTATTTTGCCTGAGCTGAGGCATAGCCCCTATTCCATTTTGTAAGGTCAACCTGTATGTCATTCATATGGTGTGCGTGTTTTTATGCAACATGTGCCCCCTCGGTGAATATTGCTATATCTCAGTACAAACCCAGAGCTGCTGACCTTTTCTGGATTGTTTGTGTTCTGCCAACAATTGTCAAAATCAACCATTTGTTGTTTGAAGTTATTTTGCTGCAAACCGAAGCTGGTGCAGAACACGTTACTTCTGTCTTCAGTACCTGCTCGCAATGATCTTCCTACGTTTGCCATTTGTGTAATGAAGTTTCTAAAAAGCGATTCATTTTAACGCCTACCTTTTTATCTCGCACAGTTTAGGAACAATAATATTCAGCTTGTTCGTCGTTTTGGGGCAAGTGAGTAGAAATTAAAATTTCCCAAACTATTATTCATGATGCGCGTGCTGTAATTGGAGGTGTTTACCCTGGGTTATAATTAACTTGAATTTGAGTAAGCAGTGCTGTTCAGAAATGATACATTTTTAACAACTTGTCAGTGCATTTATATCTCAGGATTACTGGACTGTGCATTCCTAAGCTGCTATATTTTCTGTTGCAGTAACACTTGTTCGTGCACATCTGTAGTGTAACTTCCTAAGCTAGAGGGAGAGAAGTTCCAGTCCGCTTTGCGGCAGACATCGTGGAATAGCAATAAAATGCCGTTGTTTCTGTTGCAAACGCTCGCAAGGCACGATTGTAAAAATGGTTTGAAAGCTGGTTGAAACCATAACAGTTGCATGAAACATAGTGCATGTACAGGGGGAGATGTGTAACACTGAGTACTTTTTATTCCGATAGTAATAATTTTAAATCTCGCATTTTGGAGCTTATATTGGTGTTGTCATGAGCATTTCAGGAGAGTATCATGGTGGGTATGTTTAAACTCTACATTATTCGGAAGTACTCCGCTGGACAGTTGTTGGTGTGGCGCTAAACCAATGTCCCCGTTCTTTTGAACTGTGACTATGGGGTGAAGAAGTCTACTTCAGCATAGTGCAGGCTGCTGAGTAACGGCACAGAGTGTAGGAACCAAAAGAAGCAGATGAGTGTGTGTAAAACATTTATAAAACGTTTAATTTTGTTTTGCTTTAAGGTTATTTTTGCTGCTGGAGCCTTGCTGAATATCTTTTGGTTAATGGAAGCTGGGCGATTTGTGTTTGGGTGAGTTATGCTTTCCGTCTTAATTTGTTTTATTGTGTTATCTACATTTACTAATATATTACAACTGCATTTTAGGAGCTCGCATAAGATTGTCAACTTGGTTTATTTGAAGGAAGTGTCAAAACTGAGGCCGTGCATGAAATGAGTAGACTGTATGCGGTTGAGATTGTTTTGATTGGGAATATCCTTGAGTAACCCAAATATTTTTTTTATTCAACTTTCCCACAAATACTAAAAACGGATCATGTTTTTACAAGGTCTGATGTCCATCAGCCCCTTGTTGCTGTAAATTGCTGCATCTCTGAAACAGATAGTTTATGCAGAGCACTCTTGTGACATCAAGTTACATTCCAGTGATGCCATGAATTGTAATGGTCGGCTGATTCGTGATGTTTCCTCAAGGGATTCTATCGCTTCGATCTATTCTATCTAAAGTATCTGTTCCCAGGCGATCAGCAACGAATGACCAAGACGCTAGTTCTGTAGCTTTTTCGTACGAAGAATTTATTAACATTTACACAGAGGAAATCTATCCCAGCCCAAAAGTCTGGTATACAAACCAAACGCTTTGCTTTATGCTTTTAAATCGGGATTTGTGCGAGCAGGTGTGGTTATACTCCAGCGCGGGCAGCCCCTTGATGTTCGAAAGGCATTAAGATCTCAAGCAAAATGGTTTCGTGTTTGAAAGCAAGTGTTGAGGGGAAACCGAGGAATTGCTCCTCGAAATAAGATGTTTTGAACGGATGGAACGGCATCACAGTGGCTTCATTTGATTAGTTTAATACAAGCTGTGGTTACAATCGAGAATAAAATATGGTCATGCATTTGTTACTTAATCACAGTTTTTGTTTACTTGCACAGGATTGGAGGGGAGTCTCTCGCAGTGGCACAAAACTCATATGCCGTCAGTTGGTTCAAAGGCAAAGAGCTAAATCTTGTCTTTGGTTTACAACTGAGCATGGCCAGACTGGTAAGAATGGTAGCATTTTGTTGGACCTGCAGGATGTGAATGGGTCACAAGATTCAGACAATTGGTTCCACATTATTTAAACAATTGGAACTAACCCAAACCTTCCAACATTTTACCCGAAATCATTTCTAGAAATCGTTCTTGGATTTCTTTTTGAAGGGGTGCGCGACAGTAAAGCATTAACCTTTGAGTTGTAATTTACTCGTATATTAAGTACTGAGAATAGTTTCATCAAATAAACCCAGTAGTGGTCATTTGACACGAGTTTCACTCTGTTTCTGCTCAATCTGTAATCTGTTAAGCATTCAGCTCGTATGAAAGCAGTGATTTGTCTCAAAGGAGAAGGAATGAATTTTTTCATGCGAGTTGGGGGAAGAACAAAATCAGTTCCAGTATTAACGTGTAGTTGGTAATACAAAATGGATAGTTCCACTTAATGATGTCTATTGAGGAGTGAAGCAGATACAAGGAGGAATTACCTTGATCAATCTGCTACATGGTCGGTTTTCATCGTCTCTAAAAAAATGGTAAAATATTCTGTTCTCATTCAATAGTTTGGAGCTCAATTCTAATATTTGCTTTATCTCAATTTCCTTCATTGTTTGAGTCCAGCCAATTCTGCTTCACTGCTAAATATATCACTTTGTGGTAGACTGAATACTTGTGTTTTTGTCCTTTAAGCCTGATTTTGCTGCTGTAAAAATAGCAGTTGTGAAAAACTTAAACTGTGTCGAATTAAATGTCGTGCTTGAAATAAATTGAAATAGATGCGTTTTTTTTTGGCAGGGCAGCACTGTAAACATGAATATAATGGGATGGATTTTCTCCAGAATATCGCAAATGGTGGGCTCTGAGAGTCCCACAGCACTTGGCATCAGTCTCATGATAGGTTTGTTCGTGTTCATTTGAGGTCCAGTGACCGGAATCATTCTTTGTAACTACTTATCAAGCTTATTTAACAGTTTAAAAGACGACCAGAGAGTCTCAGATTCGCTTAAAGGTTTTTTGAGTCGTCCCTTTCTCTACCTGTAAAGGTGTTTTGGATCAAACTCGTGTGGCCGACATTAATATAAATTCAAACAGGCAAATGTTAGTGGTTTCTCCTGGAACCCAATGGAGTTGCTGCACCCCCCAGTACTTTCCCCAGTAATTTCTCCCATTTGTGAACCTGGGCAGTGATTGCCAGCAATTCATTCAAGTCCGACTCCTTTTGTTGCACTGTGCCTGCATGTGCAGTGGGTATTGGGTCACTGATTTTCTGGAGGCTTCAGTCTTTCGGTGCTGAGAATGATCCCTATTGGATATTGTGGAACATTCTTCTTTAACAGGAGGTTGCTCGAATATTACATTCTTTTCTCTCTGTGCAGGTACTGCAACCTGTATCTTTTCCTTGCTGTGTGCATTATTTCTTGGTTACTTAGACAGAAGAGCTGCAAAGATATTAAACAAAGAACAAGAAAAGACAGGTGAGATTTTTCCTCCTTCCTCTCCCAAATACACACAACACAGTCGCATTGTGTACATATATTTCCTTTAAATTGATTTCACTGAGTCACTCGAAACTTCTGTTTAAAGATTGAATTTATTCTGTTAAACTATTAAAAAATGGAATCACCCTTTGCACAGGTTTTGCTTTGCACAGTTTGCTCAAATCATTTGTCGTCTGATTTTCTATTTTATGTACTTGAAGCATATATCTTCAAAGCTAATAAGGTTAGCCTTGCATGTATTTTAATTGGATAAAGTGCAAACCATGCTACTGAACTAACAATAGAACTGTGTGCAGTTGTGATTTCGCCCACAAAATATACAGTCAATTCACTTTACAGTATACTCTGTAAAGCGCTTTGAGACGTCTTGGAAACGTGATAATGCGCATATAAAATGCAAGAATTATTATTTTTATTGTCAAAACTTGGCTGGGCTGTTTGAATATTCTGTGTCGTAAATCTTTTGCAGGTGCAATAGATTTCGTTTTTNAAAAAAACATTTTGCCTGTGAAGATTTTGGCCAGTGTCTTAATTTTAAATGTCTAGTAGCGTTTTTCCAAATACTTGCTGTTGCCAGAACCCTGAAATATCCACATAACTGATGTTCTCTTCTGGTAGTGTTTGTCTGGTTATTTTATCTCTTAACTGCTAATGCTTGACACAGAGAATTTTGGCCATCTTATGCCATTTATTTTATTTTGTGCGTGTCGGAAAATTGGAACAACATTAATAATAATAATAATCCTTGCATTTGATATAGCGCTTTTCACGTCGGGAGGACGTCCCAAAGCGCTTCACAGAATATACTGTAAAGTGAATTGACTGTATATTTGTAGGCGAACGCGGCAGCCAATTGCACACAGCAATGTCCCGCAAACAGTCATGGATTCAAAGTAACCAATTTTTTATTATTGTTTTTTTTGGAGGGATTATTATTAGGCTCTGTGTGGAGTAAGGAAACTTGCCCAAGGTTTCGCCCTCTGCCTGGGATTGAACTCAGGTCTCTCGCTTGCAAAGCGAGTGCTCTAACCACTGAGCTACAGGACTCCACAGTGGCAACTACCTACAATCATATTGCACACTGACAAAATATATGTGGAGAGCTGATGCCTGGGCAATCCACAACGCAATTTACATTTATATAGCGTCTTTCACGTCAGGAGGACGTCTCAAGGCGCTTCACTTAAAAGAGTTTAAGAGATAACAGTAATGGGTAACTGGTTATGGCAATTTCTGACGCTACAATAAAATGCTTGAGGCAGTCTTGTAAAACCGGCTGCCGGCCTTGACATTCTGTTCAATACGCAATCCACAAGCTTGTGAATTTTCCCAGGTGCACGGCAATTCATCAGCATTTCAAAATGGAATGCAAATGGTGAAATCTAATATTGGCTCCTTTTAAATCTTTCTAGGTGAAGTCATTAAATTGACAGATGTGAAACATTTTCCAGCATCCCTCTGGTTGATATTTTTTATCTGTGTTGGCTATTATGTAGCTGTTTTCCCATTTATTGGGCTTGGAAAGTAAGTACCTGTATTTCATTCAACCTAAACTCCTAATCTAGTGTTGATTAATTCTTGCACGGGCATTGGAAAGTAGTAGTTTGACTAAGACTTGATACTTAACTGCGCCGTACTCAGTTATTTTTAAATGTACTCCTACGTCAAGGAGTATGTTCTGTATTTGGTATGTTAATCTCTGAGAAATTCCAGTGTATATAAAAAAATTGCTGCGCAAGTAAACATCCCAACTGAACGAATTGTTCAGCGTGTCTTAAGACTAACGCCTGTGTAAGTTTTCTGTGTAAATCAACAAGCATCAAAGCCACATAGGGGAAGGGCAGTCCAGGGGAGCATCACTTCTTAGAAAAATATTCCCTCAGGTCTATGAAGCCAAAAATTTATGAAAGGATATTTAACTTCGAGCTCAGTATTGTTGCAGTTAGAAGAGTGACCTGTCACCTCAGTTGTCAGACTCACTCCAGTGAGCTTTGTTGGGAGCGGGAATAATGAGCAAATAGCAACTCGTGTAAAATACAGAGATTTGCCGTGCGAACACAACACAGGCACATCTCCTGTTTTGTTTCACATAAAAGAGCGACCACAATATATTTTTTCTCCGTCTTAGGGTTTTCTTCATTGAAAAGTTCAACTTCTCTCCTGCAGAAGCCAGTGCCGTCAACAGGTAACTGCTACCAGCAGGATTATAGACAAAAAAAAATCCAGGTGTAGCAATTGCACGTAAATCCCGTAAATTGCATATTTTTAAAGGTCAGTGCTTTGTATTGCTTTCACACACAGTGCTTTTAAAGATCAAGCACTCCGGGACGCTACCCTACGTGAAGGCCGCGATGTAAATGCAAGTTGTTGTTTATGTGAGCTATTCGTATGATAATACAGTTGAATATTCCACTCATTCTGATTTCTCTTTTCCAGTATTGTGTATATAATTTCGGCTCCAGCTTCGCCTGTCCTAGGATTTCTGGTGGACAAAGTGGGAAAGAATATCTTTTGGGTTATGTGCGCTGTGATAATCACTCTGATTGCTCACATGATGTTGGCATTCACCTTCTGGAACCCTTGGATTGCAATGGTAAAGCAACTGTCCTTTATGCACTGTTTGCCTGAAATATCTATGTGACCATCTCTGAAAACAGCTATGTGAAAGAGACTTTAGATGTGCATTGACAGTAAATTGCCTGTGGTGTATTTAAAGGGGAAAGGAAGGGTTTAGGAGAATAAGGTGCACAGGGTAGGACAACTCCGTGCTCTCTGAGTGTGAACCATTCAATCTTCCCACATCAACCATCTTTGTTGCCTTTTTTTACAAACAGCTGACGCAATTAATATATATGTTCCAAATTGTCACTCATTAGGAACTACAGGAAGATTTCTTCCTTTTGCTCTCAGACCAGATCTTGCCCTGGGCTGGAATCCGACCCAAGTCCCATAGGTGAAAGGACAGGCGTGGTTTTCGTTCAACCGGTTTGTGTTTTTTTAAAAAAAAGAATGATTCCTGAAGATTTACTGGATGGTAATATTTTATAAATCACCTTATTGTGTTGAAATATTTGAAGGTACAGTGGCAATTGTGAAGCTTCACTGTGCTATGCAACATTACTTACCAAATGAGTTGGTTTGATCCGAGTGCAGTTCTGTACATCGCGGGGAGGTAAGGGAAAAGGAGCAAATGTGTGTTTAAGAGAGGAGAAAATTGACAAAAACTTCAACTTTAAATGTTTCTATGTCCCTTGGTTTGGCTTATTTTAAGGCCGGATGCTTTCAAAAGAATAATTGGGATCAAGAATAGAGATTTATTTTTGATGTCTAATTTGCTCTAATTTCAGAGTCTGTTGGGAATTTCGTATTCTTTGCTTGCCTGTGCGTTGTGGCCCATGGTGGCTTTTGTGGTTCCTGAACATCAGATCGGAACAGCATATGGCTTGTGAGTAATAATTAATAATAATCCTTGCATTTGATATAGCACTTTTCACGTCTTCTAGTATTCTGAAGTCCCTTGGTCAGAGGAGATTCTTGGTTTTCCTTTAGTGCGCATGTTTAGCGTGTTTAGTTAAGACTGTTTTCTTGACAATTTGTGTCTTTTTTTTCAAAATGTTTTTTTGAACATTTCTTTCCAGCATGCAGTCCATACAGAACTTGGGCCTTGCAGTGATTGCAATTGCTGCTGGTGCTATACTGGATTCCAGAGGATATTTACTACTTGAAGTATTTTTCTGTGCTTGTGTCTGTTGTGAGTACCGTATGTTTGAAGTATTCTTCTATTTTCCGTGTCACTTGCTGAGATAATGCTGTTCAGTTGAATGAAAACAAATTATACTGAACATTGAATGAATTAGCAGATATGTCTCTCATGTGAATATACAAAGAAATATTTTGATAACCGCATAAACACGACAATGGCACTGGAATTCACATTTGTGTTGAAGATATTAAATAATTCTTATGTTTATCACATTGTCAAACGTCTCCAAACATTTTGGAGTCGTGGAGTCCTGTAGCTCAGTGGTTAGAGCACTCGCTTTGCAAGCGAGAGACCTGAGTTCAATTCCAGGCAGAGGGCGAAACCTTGGGCAAGTTTCCTTACTCCACACGCCTAATAATAATCCTCAAAAACAAAAACAATAATAAATTGGTCATTTTCAATCTACGACTGTTTGTGGGACATTGCTGTGCACAATTGGCTGCCGCGTTCGCCACAAATATACAGTCAATTCACTTTACAGTGTGTTCTGTGAAGCGCTTTGGGACGTCCTCCCGACGTGAAAAGCGCTATATCAAATGCAAGGATTATTATTATTATTATTATTATTATTATTTAACAGGATTCACTGTAAAGTGTAGTGAGTGTGTGTTTGAAGCTGAACCAATTGTTCAACTATTGTTCAACCAATTTGTGAAACACTGCACCCAGCAGTGTTCCACAAACAGCCATGACGTGAATCACCAATTGTAGGATTGTTGACCAGGATCCTGGGAGAGAAACTGTCCGCTTTCCAAATAATGCCATTGGATCTTTAACATCCACCTAAACGGTAGACGGGATATTGGTTTAACATCTTACTGAAGGACAGCAGTGCAGCTCTCTCGCAGCACCTCATTGGAGTATCAGCCTCGACTATGAGCTCAAAGTCCCAACGTGGGGCGTAAACTCAGTCTCTTCTGACTCTGGCTCTATTTACATGTTTTATATTCAGAAATGGAAAATAAATGACACTGTTACCATATTTAAACACCCTTTAGTCTGGATCCAAAAGCAAAATCTGTTGAACTGCAATCCAAAAGCCAGGAGAAGGTTTTATTTACTGGTAGCAACCAATTTGTGGGTTTCCTGTACCATTGTTTCCTTACAGTGCTGACGAAAACAACCTTATACATTCCAAACCTGCGCCACTCTTCCTGTTCTTAATAATACGTGAATTTTTGCTGTGGTTTCTCTTATTGGGGATGCGGGTTCAGTGCTTTACAGAAAGCTGTAATTTGTGTTGTTACAATTCGTTTAACAATTCTGAGTTCGTTTTACAGATTCTGATAGTATCCCTTCTAAAGTCTGAGTTTAGCTGACTCGGATCATGTTTCACTTTTCAAATAATTGTTGTGTTTTTACATTTGTTCTGTTGAATTATGCTTGAGCTCAGTGTCTGAATTTGTGACAGTGATTTTCTTCTTTTTTTTGTCTTCCAGTGGCACTGATGGGTGTGGTATTGCTATATTTTGTGGATCTGTTGGCAGGTATGAATTTCTCTGAAATTGTTTTCTTTGAGACAGCGTTTATTTCAGAGTGTGACAAAAGGTGTTGATAATGATGTTTGTTTGTAAACCTGTCAGGAAGTGGACTCAATATGGCAGCCTGGAAACGTTCAAAATTACAGAATATTACAGCAGAAGAGTAAGTGTTAAGTGTTCTTTTCAATTGGGGGAGGAGGGAAGCAAGGGTTGGAAATAAATTACTCTTTATGGTAAATGGTTGAGTTCAACCTGACTAATTGAAGACATCTTCAGGTTGGGATCGAGTAACAAGTGGAAGGAACAATAGTTGAACAATGGCATTTTGTAAACTATAAACTCTTTTCTAGGAAGTATTGACATTGTCCAGAAATTCTAGACATCCTTGGGACATCCTCCCGACATGAAAGGCACTCTATAAATGCATTTTGTTGTTTCTTTATTCAAAATGTTTTCATCTTCGTAAAATCAGTGGTACACACTAACTATTAATTTCACCTCCTGCCGATTCATCTGAATGATACTGACTATTATCCTTGAGATCTATTGTACAAACAATTTCTCTCTATTTCGCCCTTCCCTAACTGGATGAGGGTTTATGGCTAAGAAATAGTATTGCTGGGAAGAAAATTAGAATTACACTGGAGAGGAGTTGTATCATCGTAGCATTGCAGAAGAGTTCTGTGCAATACATACAATGCTCTGCAGATTGGTCAGTGAAAACTGTTACATACAGGAAAATACTATTTTGAACTGTGAAACAAGCATGAATTATTTTAAACAGCTTGCCTGATGGTCTTTAATCCAGGATTTCAATACAATCTTAATTAAGTTCATTGTGGAAACATAATGTTTTTGTTAAATCTGCTTAATTCCAAATGATAGGATTTGTTTTTGGATGAGAAATTGTTCTGGAATTAACCCGTTCAAAACCTGCAGTCTATTATATTATCCTTCACTTTGCTACTTAACTTCAGTCGTGTGGGAGTGAAATAAGTCACGGATATGGATGGAAACTACTTTGCTCTTTGGAAGTAAATGCCTTTTTTCAGTCACTTGGCTGTAGAACAACAAAGCACAAACCTGCTTAAATGTTTCCATAAAACCTGAAATGCAGAGACCAGTTGTGTGTATTTGAATATTCTTTGAACTTCTTACCTTCCTGCTGTTGTTTGCTTTGTGTGTGCGTGTGTGTGTGCATGGAGCTCTAGATTTGCAAACAAAAACTGATTTGGATTCATGTCAAAAGATGATACGACAACCTACCCTTTTTTGTACTTCTGGAATGAAGTGTTGTAATTTACTCCAGCATAGTCCCACAATGCACTTAATTGTTCCCTGTTACTTCTGCATTGCCTATTTCAGATGAGGTGATAAGTAAGTAATCCACGATTGGCAACAGTGCAGATGTCTCCAAAGGTTGTGAAATCTACCACATAGTATTGGTATCTGTTTGTGACTCCAAAGCAAGGCTGCCATCTGTCAATATAAATGGAAAATAAGTAGTGAAGTCGTGGAATTGGGTGTCTTTTTTGACTCTTTTTACCAGGATCCTTTCTTTTTACTCTTCTTGCTCACGACTTATAGATTATGGGATACCTTCCTGGGCTCATTGGCTCTATGTCTTGTGTTTCACTTACCTTGTTGCAGGTATTAATAGATGAGTATTAAAAGGCGCTGCTTAATTTCTTCAGTCATAAGCAAGCACTGTGTATAAGCAAGACATTAAATAGCTATAAATCAACTCTGAATGATCCGGACAGGTGCTATTACTTCATTTCGGACAACCTTTAATTGGTCCACCCAGAAACACTTTCCAAGTTGGTTACTTTGGGGGTAACTTGCAATGCAGGTTAAATCATGAGCTGGAATTCAAAAGTTGCAGGTGGTCTGCTTAGCATTGTTAAATAGTTCTGTGTGGGCATTGGCATGACATTAACTTTCAACACAATTTCTTACAGGTGAGAATTGTCAGTAGCAGCCTTCGACCAGAAGTGTACAACCCTTTGAGCATCAAAACATCAACATGAAGAATATACTGTATTTAATACTTTCAGTGTGTAATGGGGGAGAACAACACCTCACCCATAAATTGTAATCCAGCAATGCCTTGCTTGCAGTGCTTGACATCCCATAGTCATTTTATATTCCAATTTTAATAGCCTACGGACACTCAAGGCTGCAATATTAAAATAACATTTATAAATTGTGCTTTTAGTTGACTTTACCCCCAAATCATTGTGCTGTGACAATTTCTCTTATTCAATGGGACATCGAGTTAATCAATGCATATAATTTCAATATCCTTTCTGTAAAATGATATATTTTTGAACCAATTTTGTACTACCTAGTTTTGTCGTCTACATTTGAGTGTGCCATGAATGGGAAAGTTTTAAATAGAGCTTATATTTTTCATGTGTTTCAGAGCACTTATGTTCATGTTTACGCAGATTCAGATTTTTAAAAACTATAGACCAGATATTGTACAAAATTGTATACAAATTTTGCACTAGAAAATTAACTTTAAAAATGTATTTGCAACTGCTGGAACTGTGCATGGATGCCTTCCCCGAACAAGCTAACTTCAGTAAACTTCAAAATGGTGAATAATGTGGCTGTGTTAATGCATTTCAAGACTGTTGGAATGGCGTTGTTAATGGAATGGCTGTGGTAATGCATTTGCAAAACCACTCAATTATTTGCACTTATTGTGTGTGTCTGTGTTTGATTTATGTATTGCAATTCGCTTATTCAATGCAAGGCTGGTGGCTGGTCCATTCTGTACTTGTGCCGTAAACTGTTCTTTGTTAGGTAAGATGCATTGAAAAGTTATCTTTGGCGATACTAACTTTGAACTGAAATGAAACCTGTTCAAATTTGTTCTGTAATGTCTTAACCGCTCCATATTTCAGAAAGATTTATATACTGCGTTTAACAACCTAATAAAAAAAATGAATTTTACTAATGTCTTATTTAAATCTGCACAACTTGGTAACACTTAATACATGCAATGCTCCTCAGGCTGATTTTTGTGTTTACTAAACTTATCAGTGACAATAAAACTTTAATAATTAAATATCTCCAGATCAAGATGATCATATTTTCCCTGGTTCGTTGGAAATTTAATTTCTGGGTATGATGCCTCGGGTAGCTGAAATTCATCATCATTTTGGCTTATTTGTTTCGCAGAGCTGAGAATGCTGAGCGTATTCGGCAATGGGAAGAAGAAGACTTAGCCAAGATTCAACCCATGAGCGCCTTTGCAGTGAGAAACCGATACCTTTCCAGACTCGGCGCACAAGTAAGAACAACTGTACATTTTACAACTTTCTTCTGTTAAAATCTCTCAGTTTAAAGGATGATAGAAGTCACACTCCAATGGGCTATAGTTTGTTTATATGCGGTCGTTGTCCAGATTCGTTTTCAAGAGCTTTATTGTGCTGTAATCATGTCGAATCTATGATTCAACCAGTGATAAGCGCTCTCTGGATCTTTTGCTTCAGTTTTGTGGCTTTTCTATTATTCTTGTGGGTCTTTTCCACGTAAAGGCCTGCTACTGATGGAATCATCTATGTTAGCAGCTTTGTAAATTCATTTTGTTTTTAAGAGCTTTAAATATCAGTGAAATTTTGCTGTGTAAGTCGCGTCTGATTTTTGCTTGTTTTCTTGCAGTTACCAGAACACTATTGCATTCATATATCTGCACTGAAGTACAGAAGTATGCTCACATAAATAGACACTGGCAGAAGAAGGTCACGTCTGTCATTTATAAGGACAGTGAAAGTGGTGTCACAGAAGTCTTGCAAATTTTTTAAGTATTCGTGAATAAACAATAAGAAAGTTTATTAAATGAAGTTTCACTACAAGATAAGTTTCAACAACAAACCTAAGATCAAAATAGATTTTATTTGTATTTGCATCGTTTTATCTGAATTGCTGCACTGGAGAATTCAACATAAACTAGTTTTTTAGTAGAAATGTGAACAATGTTTTAAGTCTGCCTGACAATATCCCTTCAAGATTTATACGGCTCTAGAAAATTTCAAACCATGTCTGTGCTTGAATAATGTAAATTTTTAATATTTTTCACAATAATTATTATTGAAATCATCTTAAAAGTTCAGAATTTTGTGAGCCGAGTGGCAAAATGTGTTCAGTCTTCCTACACTTTTTATATAAACTTTAGAATCCCAAGAATTGCACATACATTGTAAATGATGGTTTTGTATTTAAGAAACTTTTGTAAATGTGTTGTATTGCTATTTTGGATTGAAGTTTAATTACCAGTCACATGCTAACACACTGGATTGAAAACTTGAGTAGCTCTAAATAACTTGTCGTTAACTACTGTGATTAAGACTTCGCAGCAAAAACAAGGTAACAAATATTAAACTAGATTAGCTGTAAGCTATTTTAAATCCAATCGGTATGAGGATGGGATTTTAATACTCTCCTTGGTCGTCTGTGGAAGATAATAAATGCCTTCTCTCCACATTTTCAATGTTTGCATTGCATGTTTTTATAAAAAAAATTCAGTGCGATATCAGCACAAAAAGAAATGTGTATTTCTCTTTTCAACCTTCTTTCCTCAGTTCCTACCCCACCCCCCAACCAAAAAGGTTCAAGAACATGAAATAATGGGGAAAAGAGCAGTCCTGACTGTGTGAGTATATCTGAAATGCAATGTGTGACATTGAGGTAATGAGTACTCACTCACAACTTTCTGTCTAACAGCTGTGGCTGATTACCAAACTCATTGTATTCTCGCTGCTTCTGAAAATGCCCATTGCAAAGGCCCATCCTCTCTAACTCGCTAAATGATCTGTTAAACAGGATTACTCAGACCATTTTGGGGGATTAAGATCCATCCAGAGTTGAATTCTTTGCACCCTGCAGACTGACTCCTAACCATTGAACCTATCTGGCTCTGAGTCTCAGCCCTAGTCTGGTGCTGTAGTTGTCTCCAGAGAGGAAATACAGAAGAGGATTGATGCAGCTGTTGAAGCTGATGACCGGTCTCCAGATTTTGTACGCCAAGCTGACCGTCTGCAAGATATTGCAGTCTTGTGCCAGATACGCCCGGACAAAGAGGTAAATTGTGCGGGTGATGTGAAAGGGAACAAAACAAACAGCCAGCAAGCCACACACCAACACGATGGTGCGGATCGATTTGGTTCGCACTGGTTTCTGCAATTGTGTACTGTCTCCCGACACGATCAATGTCTTTATAATACAGCAATAAGACAGTATGATGATCACGAAGGGGATAACAAACCCAGTCACAGTTAATACAGTGCCATAGGGTAAATAGTTGTGGAAATTATCAGGACTGGTCAGGTCATAGCACACCGTCTTGTTGGCCAGGCTGCCTGTATGTGCGTAAAGGTAAGTGGGTACAACTTGCAAACCTACCATAATCCAGGCAACGACGCAAGTCTCCACTGCCAGCCGACGTGTTCTCCACTCGATGGACTTCATGGGGAAGCAAAGCCCCAGGTAGCGATGGACGCTGATGCAGGTTAGGAATAAGATGCTCCCGTAAAGGTTAGCGTAGAAGAGAAAGCGCACAAGCCTGCACAGGAAGTCGCCAAAAGGCCACCTGTCCCTCCAAATATAGTTCAAGATGAGCAAAGGAAGAGAGCAGACGTAAAGTAAGTCCGCAACAGCGAGGTTCACCAGGTAGATAGTGCTGCAACTCCACTTGCGAGTGAGACGCCAGGATAAGCAAAGGACTGCTCCATTGAGGTCAAACCCAGGAGAAACACCAAGCTGTAGGTGACGGGTAGTAGTGTGTGTTTGTAGTCTTCATACAGAGGACAGATCGGTGAATCCAAGTCGGTGGTGAATGTGGTGGAGGCATTGAGGCTATCAGTTGTTGTATTCTCATCCATTTGTTCCCTGCCTTGGTTTGGATCTTTAGGATATCTTCGCAATGCTAATGTGGGAGTTGAGTCTTCTTCAGGGTTGAGGAATAAACGTGAAGCACAGGGGGAAAAAAAGTCAAACAGAACTTAAGTCATGGTTTGTCCCATCTTGTAACGTTTGAAGATATTTGAAACAAAATAAAATCCACTTACTTTCGGTGATTCTGTCTGCAGCAAATAGTTGTGCGTTTTCCACCAAATATTAATCGATGAGCTTGTGTGAGAAGCAAGTATTGTTCAACTGCTGTTAAAGTCTTTTGCTCTGCAATGAGTTAGGGAGTTGCTATTTGTGAATGTTCCTGCGTCGGATTCTTCTGTTTATTATTCAGATTGTTGGCCATGGTCCAGACAGATATCCTATTTCAAACTGTCAATCCTAATTTCTTGACTCCAATTATAGAAATTCTTGTTTTTTACATTCCACCTCCCCACCCCCCCCCCCCCCCCCCCCCACCCCCAAAGCTCTTCGTTTCCATTTTTGCTTGATTTCAAATGTATTTTGAAAGCTCGGTGGAGGGTTAGGGAAATCAGTGAATAAACGCTGCAGTCGCCTATTCTCAACTCAGAATGGTAATGTGACCTAGTTTATTGACAACAGTATGAGGATATCTCAAATGCCTTCACAGAGTTCACTGTAAACTGCAGTGACTATGCTTTTAGGTTTTTGTAATACGTTTCTCTTAATAGCAAACCAAAATACATTTGCGACCATTATCCGTACTGCTGGGAAAGAGTTCTGTTTAGGCCAATGGACATAATAATAATAATAATACTTGCATTTGATATAGCGCTTTTCACGTCGGGAGGACGTCCCAAAGCGCTTCACAGAACACACTGTAAAGTGAATTGACTGTATATTTGTGGGCGAACGCGGCAGCCAATTGCGCACAGCAATGTCCCACAAACAGTCGTAGATTGAAAATGACCAATTTATTATTGTTTTTGGTTTTGGAGGGATTATTATTAGGCTCTGTGTGGAGTAAGGAAACTTGCCCAAGGTTTCGCCCTCTGCCTGGAATTGAACTCAGGTCTCTCGCTTGCAAAGCGAGTGCTCTAACCACTGAGCTACAGGACTCCACATATGCAGTAGTTCCCACAGACTGCTAATGAAAGTGAACATCCACTGGGGAAAACTGAAAAAAAAACTGTTCTCTCCCCCGATCCCATCCTCTTCTCAAGCCAACCAGCACACATTTCCTGTTAAGCGAACAAGCTTAAAACTGGATCTAAAAGAGTACAGCAAATGTTCTTCAATTGAATCTATTAAGATGTGCATTGGTACTATTTAATAATGACAGTGATGAATATTTCGGCATGTCCAGGCTAGAAAAGGCTTTTAAGCTAATGACACTTCTCTTTCAGCACAAAAATGCTTTCAGTCACAATGGGAAAAATCTGAATTTACCCATGGACCTAATAAATGCCTACATTAAGTTTTCCAAACGTATTTGGGGTGAAATGAGCAGCGATGGAGAAGGAATTCATTCAAGATCCCAAGTTAAAATTGAACAGATTTAGTTGTGCAGATATACAGAAAGAAAATGACATGAGATATATCTTAGCAAGCAATAGAAAAAGAAAGCCCCATTCAGCACTGTCATCCTTATGTAGGTTTTACAAAATATCTTGCTTAATTAAGCTCCATCCAGCAAATCTATCTTCTTTCTTCATGTCCTTGTACTTTTGTTCAATGTGTTTTTTTGTTCATTGTCATTGACTTCTCTGAGTATTAAGAACTGCTTAGTGGATAGAAAAACTGAGAACCATTAATCATCTCTCGTTCTCTCTCTTCGTGGCTTATACTTGACCTAAGTGTGTAACTGATAATTGGAAACCCATGGAAACATTTCAAATTACTACTCGGATACAACCCAAATCTACTGTGTTTCGTTTTGTGGTTCATCGGGTTTGTGAAAGGTCTTTAAAAAGAGATTTTGATGGGCATACACATGGGCGATAACCGGCGAATGAAAATCAATACAGATAAATGCAAGGTGCTACAAATAGGAAGTAAGAATAGTAAACACATGTACTCCATGAATAGGGAAGCTGAAAGAGATCTAAGGATATTAGTTGACAATTCCGCTCAGCATAAATAAAGGGGAGCTCTCCAGGATCTAAAGGCAGTGCATCGGAAGGCAGTGAGGATGATCCTTGATGGTAGAGGAATGAGCTATGAGAAACAATTAGATAAACGAGGACTCTTCAGTTTTGAAAGAAGACATCTCACAAGGGACCGCTTGATACCGTGACAGGAAGATGTGGAATGCTGTAGCTTAGTGGTTAGAGCACTTGTCTCACAAGCGAGAGGACCTGGTTTCGATTCCCTGACAGAGCGAAACATTGGTCAAGATTCCTTAATCTGCACGCCTCCACTCGCCAAGCAGTAGGTTGGAACCAGGCTGTTAGTCGATTGGCGGATTGCTTTTCCGAGGGTAATGATGCCTTCAAACAAAAATAAATTTAAAAGGCTAAATGGTGATTTGGTCACTAAATCAACGACTGTTTGTGGACGACTGCTGTGCGCAATTGGCTCAAGCTTCTCAGTTGCCTTAATTCCAAATTGAAGTGAGCACAAGCTTCCCTCTGAGTCCTTAATGCTGGTGCTGTGCAACTGAAGGTCTGTGAATGACAGTGAGTAATACTGGATAGCACGGGTGTGATAATAAAAGGTTTCTTAGCTCTCCCGTACCTAGAAACATTATTTTTATAGCTTGTTGCGTTTCAGTGGTACCTCAATAAGTGTACACGTGCTGACACTGAGCACTTGAAATGTAGAAATGGTCCACTGCCCCACTGTTGATGTCTTCCACTTTGAACAGCACCCCCAAAAAAAAGTTAACTTACATTTAACAAGGACTTGATTGGATTAGTCACACTACCACAGAATACAAAAGAGATGAAAATTGCCTTAGGGAATCTATAGTGAGAGAGTTAGACTTCTCTGCCTGGCAGCGAGGTTTAGCAGTGCATCCAATAAAAGCCCATTGTAGAATTCACACATACATCATAACAGCAGCCGGTTTAACAAAGGGGGAGGTTTATATTTCTGTGCGTAATTGGCTGCCGCATTTCACGCACAAAACATACCGTCGGTTCACTTCATAGCATATGCTGTGAAGCGCTTTGAGGCATCTCGAGGACGTGATAAGGCGCTGTATCAAAAGCAAAAGAACTGCAAGGGTTATTTAAGCTTTTCGTGGTGTTTTCTTTTGAGAACAGCAATCAACATAAACGTTTGAAGGAAGAAAGCTGCGCATTGTTTGTGCATGTTTAATTTTACACAGTTATGATCATTTTAGTTTCTAAGTTCAAACCTCAGTATCGAGACATAACGTTCCAAAGGAAATCCTGATCAATACAGCAAAGGTAATCCGTTACCCCCTTCCCTCCCCCCTCTACAGTAAGATTACTCAGCCAAATGTAATTGTGAGTAATTATGGTAACAAGTGAGAGCAGAATTAATGAACTATTCGATATCTTTACTGGTGTTTGTCACTAATATGGCCACTGAGAGTTTAACGTTGAATAAACAGCCCTTTGGCAGGTTCTCTAAAGAAAGTGCTCCTGTTACTGTAAATCCTAGAGGGCTGCAAATGCAAATTTATCACTGCATATTAACATAGACACCGTCTGCCTCACACCTCTGTCTGGCACTCATTCAAGTGTTTTTTTTGCGTGATTTATCTGGGAAGTGGCGCCTCTTACTGTGTCGCGGGGAATAAAAAGCGATGTACGTGCCAAAATGTGTGTGTTGGTTCACCCAGTAATTTTTCCAGTCCTTTTTTTCGTTTAACGGCAAGAGAAGTCACTTTCCAGATGGGTTATGAGAAGCACCACTGGGAAAGGATTCCAGATGATCCCTGCGTGCAGAGACAGTGAGAACAGATGTAATCTATTTATAAACTCTTACTGAATGGACAAGTATAAAAACTGCTGCATTTTTTCCCCTGTTTCCTTCTGTTGCTGGTATTCAGAACCATTGCATTGCTGCTTAAAAAGTTTGAATGGCAAACTTTTATACCTTTGACCTACACTCTGCGTTGAAAGAACAAAATCAATGTGTTTCTAGTGAAAAAACATTCAAGTCCAATTGTGGGTTTATAAGCTTTTCACGAAATTGAGTTCTTATTCGGTGCAAGAGACTTTAATGTGACAGACAAAGGGACCATCTCTTTGGAGAATGCATTAGTAAGTTGTTGCTGAGCTTGTTGGAGTGAACAGTCAATACTTTTTGAACTTAAATGTGTGATTGTGGTAAGCGTGACTTCTTTTACGATGTGACTTTCACATTAAAGACGCATTTTGCTTAATGTGAACTTGCTGAGAAAGCATTGATGACAGACCTGAAGCTTAGATTGAAAAGGTAAAAAGCTTTCTTGTGTTAATGTGGTTGATTGAGTAAAAGCACATTAAAAACTAATTGGATTTCTTTGGTCGATGGAACCATAAAGCAAGCCATAAATAACACTCTAGGTAGCTTGCTGATGAGTGCAATCATTTTTTGTAGTTAGAAAAGCTTGTAATACACATGTTGATCTTATTTTGACAAAGTCACTGTAGTTCCTAATGTTTAACCTAATACTTTATAGCAATTCAGCACCTGAAACTAATCATAGAATCATAGAATCGTACAGCACAAAAAGAAGCCATTCGGCCCATCGAGTCTGTGCCGGCTCTTTGAATATAGCAATGTAATGTCAGTCCCACTCCCCGGCCCTTTCCCCATAACCTGTAAACCCGTCCTCCTCAAATACCCGTCCACCGCGCTTTTAAAAGTAGTTATCAAATCGGCCTCGACCGCCCTTTCAGGCAATGCGTTCCAGATTCCAACAACTCGCTGCGTGAAAACATTTCTTCTCACCTCCCCTCGGCTTCTTTTAGAGACTATTTTGAATCTGTGACCTCGAGTCACCGACACACCCACCAGTGGGAACAGCTTTTCCCTTTCGGATCTATCAAATCCCCTTATGATTTTGAAGACCTCTATTAGGTCTCCTCGTAACCTTCTCTGCTCCAATGGGAATAACCCTAACCTCTCCAGCCTTTCCTCATCATCAAGATCCCTCATTCCTGGTACCATCCTCGTAAATCTCCTCTGCGCCCTTTCCAATGATCTTAACATCCTTCCTATAGTGCGGTGCCCAGAACTGGGCGCAGTACTCTAATGATGGACACTGCCTAGAATGCTCCAGGTCAGTGTTATAAATGGAAATGCAATCGTTTTTTATAGCCCATAGTTTAACTTCAATTTTTGTTTCAATTTTGGCTGAAACCTACTTTTAATTGAAAAATAGTTTCACTTATTATTTCACCTATGTTTTGCCATGTCAGGCATAGTTTGTTTTTCACTATCCACTGACCTCACTCGCTGAAGACCAATGTTTCCTTGATTCCACTGTCATTCAATTTTTGTGAAAGTATTTTTGTGATAACAATGGCTATCCTACACTTTGATTTCATTTCATGGACATGCAATTATGTTGGTTCTGTCCATAGAACAAAATTATCATAATAATAATCTTTGTATTTGATAGAGCACCTTTCATGTCCAGAGGACTTCACCAAGTGCTTCATATGATTTACTGTAAAGTATAGTGACTGTGAAGCTTTTAATTGTTTAATAGCAACAGATCATTACCACCTCCACCCTCCTGCCATCTCCAACAGAATAAGATAATTGAAGTTAATAAGAGGTAATTTTACATTAAAAGCAGAAAAAATTCATTCCAGAATTTGAGGGAGAAAAGTTATTTTTTTTTTTGGTTAATGAAATTACATTTTGCAGGAAAGCATTGAAATTCATTTTGAGAGTTATATTTGGAGGCTAATGCTTGATCTGTGTAATGATTGTTTGCAAAGAATGGCATCTACTGTATTACAATATGCAAAGCATTGAATTACAAGTTACCATTTAGTTCAGAAAACTAAGTCTTTTAAATTTAACCAAATAACTGTTAAGGGCAGATTTTCAACTGTATTTTAATGAGCCTTATATGAGCTCTGCAAAAGTAATTTAAAGAATTAGAACGTAAAAGCTTCTTTCAACAAAAATTCTCTGCATCGGGAGGTTTATCCCATGCAGGGAGGTGGTAAGGAATATAATCTGTTATCTCAAGCATTTTAATAACTCAAATTATCTTTGTGTCTGAATAGCATAATAATCGGAATTACTCGTTTTCTCCTCGAAACATTGATTTGTGTCTAAAGCTTGAATGTTTGTGAAACTCAAATAGGAAATTCTAGTTTGTTAGCAAAAATAGACAATTGCTGCATTGCAAACCTCACTAGGTTCTATGGCATAGAGATTTTGTCGTGGCTCAACCGGACTGTTTTCATGTGTTTGCATGTGAGATCCACATACTGAGTACAATGCGGGGATGGGGTAGAATTTCACTGGTTGGTAAAATTTAACGACTTGCTATTACAAGCTTTAAAGGGGACTCTAATGATGAACACACCAAAGGCAATCGATAACTTTACCAATCCGTGGAACTTCAGGATTGCTACACAGCATCATAGAACATTTATAGCATAGAAATAAGGCTTTCGCCCATCCATGTATGTTCTGGTGCCACCCTCGCCCACTAAAACTACTTATTCCATTCTGTTGCTAGGCTTTTCTCCCATATTCTTCAGTATTTACTTCAAGTGTTTAGTCAATAATGTTATGGACAAAACTTCAACAGCTGTTTGTTATAAAGCCATTATATGTTTTAACTCTGTGTGAAACAAGTAGCCTTCCTTTCTTCTGTTTCCTCAATTTACATTCTCTTTTTACTGACTCCCTGATCGGTGGAAGTAATACTGCACTATGTTATCCTATCAATGGTGATTGCACAGCATTTTGCTTTTCTTGATTAACCAGCACATCTTAGTGCCGTGTTAGTGCTGTTCTGATTACCACCTGTAATTACCTTTGACAGTAATGAACTACAAGAAGTTATGTGACGCTAAAATAGCTTTTGTGAAATGAATAATGTATGATTTCTTAGCAATAATTAAGAACTCATTTTGTGTAAGTACACACAGGAAGCTAAATGTAATTTTTCCAACAAAATGTAATCGGGTTGTGAATTTTTTTGGAAAAAATATGTACAACTTCGAAACCTTTCAGCGGATGCAACACTGGCGGATGTAAGCGGCTACAAGAAGAGAATAATAATAACAATCCTTGCATTTGATATAGCGCTTTTCACGTCGGGAGGACGTCCCAAAGTGCTTCACAGAACACACTGTAAAATGAATTGACTGTATATCTGTGGGCGAACGCGGCAGCCAATTGCGCGCACAGAAACTGAATTCTTGCAGCAATGAACGTTCTGAGTGTCGATACCTAATAACTGAATTATTCATCTACCTGGATAAATCTTTATGTGCGCCTTGGTGAGGGATGGAGAATAATGCCCTTTGCACCAGTTTTATATCAAGTGCTTCCAAATGTGGAATAGACGTACAATAAAGCTGCATGTTCGTGGCCCTATGGTATGATGACACTTTCCCCATAATACCCATCCATTTTGAGTGAGACTTTCAAATTTGATTGCGAATGATGACTTTTTTGTTATTACGCATTGTGCCCAGCAGCAGCTAAATCAAACCTGGCTGACGTGCTTCACATCAGAGATTTGTAGCCACCACAGAGAAGAGACTGTTGTATACACTGTACTGCTGCTCACTGATGCTATTTGTTCCAGATTTTGGTTTAGGTAAAGCAAGGAGTTTCTGATCTTGTCCAAGCCAAAAATTGTCCATCTAAATTGATTATTCACTACATGGGGCTGTTTGTGTGACATTGCTATGTGCACAAATTGGCTGTGGTTCGTTTTCTTTCAAATACGTAGACACTTGGCAGCAATTACCTGTGAAGTGCTTTGAGACATTTTGATATTATAGGTATTCTATCAAATGCAAAGATCATTATTAAGTGTAATTGGGATTTCAGAATGGTGTGCACGGATTTAAAGCACATGATTTGAATGATTCATAGTTAAACCACATCAAAATGTTGGTTACCAATAGCAGCATGTTTAAACAATAAGAGCTAATCTAACAGTTTCAGCTTTGGTAAGAATTGGCAATCATTCAGAGTCATTCAAAGTTGGGTGGACCAACTCCTACCACAAAGGCAGCGTCAAATAAAAAAAAAAGCCAAAAATACACCAAAAAGCAGATAAGAACAGTGAAAGTGATCAATGGAAACAAAAGGAGGCTGTTTATTGCAGATTTTAGAAATGTCAAGTTCTAATATGTACAGAACTAATAAAGCAATACCAGACAAAACATGACTAAAACATGTTCCTGTATTATTAGTTTACATAAATATGAATGATCCAAATATGAATGATCTAACTTATGGCCATGTTGCCTGATAAAGACTCCATCGCTTGCTTTTAATTGAACCGCTTGCTTTTAATTGTAAGAAGAACATTACTGTAACTGTCATAATTTTGCTTGTCAGCAAATTTTAATTGCTAGGGATCTCTAAATCCCCAGCCTTAGAATAGCAGTGTTGGAAAACTGAATATAAGGTTTGCTAATGTCCTTTGTAAGTTATCTATCACAAATGCAACAAGAAGGGCTCAGAGCAAGATGCATTACAATCGAAAAATCTAGTTATAGCGATCGGGTAAATTGGGAATGGGTAAGGTTTCCTTCAATACATCAACTCCTATAGATGTTACGTAATACGTTTAAGAGACGATCTGCACTTGTGGTTCTGGAAGAACTAGTTTTCCCAACTAATGAAGCTAAATATTTTTCTGTTACCAATTATCTTCTCGCTATGATTCTCATCAGAAAACAATTATTGGCAAAATGACACCAAGAAGTGGCTGTGTTCAGCCTTCCAGTATAGGGGAAATGTTAATTGTTTTTAAGGGATGTTGCATGCAGCAAACATGTTTGCTGAAGTTCTTATTACAACAACAACTTGCATTTATATAGCGCCCTTCACACAGGGTGGGGGAACTGGAACCCTTTCCTGTTTGGGGGCGCATGTAGACAGTCAACGTGGTGCCTGAAGACCTTCATTGGCTGTGCCTTCGGTCACCTCACACCCCCACCCACCCCTGCCTCAGTGCCGTGCTGCACCACTGCCCTCCGGGACGCCATCCTGCATGAGGGGGGGGGGGGGGGGGCGGGGGCCAGATAAACACAAGTTGTTGTTGTTGAAACTGCATGATGTGTTGACGTCCACAGGATGTGGTGAAGTTTACAAAGAAAAACGTTGCTCAAACCAGTTTGTTTTTGTACTATTGCTAGAGCCTTAACCTGAATACTCACTCAGCTGGTGAGATATCCAGATTGATTACCTGGCAGGAAATGTTGGGTACTTTGTGCAAATAACACTCGAGTGAATTCGCAGCACTGTGCAAGTTGGCTGCAAGTTAACGCATCACTTAAATCTGCGCTATTGGGGCTTTCTTAATTCGCCCTCTGGAGAAGCGGTCAGAGACTGCTAAGCCAGCACTGCGGAGTAATGATTGATGTTGATTCCCAGATTAAAATGACTCCATTCTGAGCGATCAGTGGCATGAATCACAAGAACAGCAACTTCCATGTTGCCTGATAAAGAGCCAGGATGTGTGCTTGAGGACTGCCGACACCTTCAGTATTTATGGATCAAACTAACGAGCTCAGGGATTACTTTAGTATTTATTTTCCAAAGGGTGTTGCAATCCGACACTAGTTAGCAGACATGAATGCAATCGAACATTTCACAGATTGATTTTAAGAACCTTAATGATTTTTTTTTGCTTACGACGTCTCAGTTGTTTTTTTATTCATTCCTCAGTTAGAGCGAACATGCTTTGTGCTGTGTAGGAATTGCTGTGGCCATGATCTGTTACTGAAATAGCTGCACTGAAATTATCTTAAGTAGAAATTCGGACATAGCCAGAGACAAGCTATTTGTTGTGCTTTCCTCCACGAACATATACAAGTTTACTGTGCGTGTGTAGACTGTTGTATAGAATAAGACTGCATTGATCAAGACTTCTAATTTGTTCCTGCAGGTTTATCAGGTAATATAACCTTTATTCTTGCAATTGTCCAAAGTGTTTAAAGACTACTACAAACTGCATGTGCATGTGTTGTTTCCCATAGAGAAAATCTGTATTGTTTGATAATAACCTGGTATAGTTCATGAGATGCTCTCTTCCAAATCAAACTTGGAGTTTAAATTAATGCAGAAATTCATTAATGTTTGATTGGACTGTTTTATATTTATTGCTATTTGTTTGTTTAAGAGGATACAGTGCATTAACCTTAAACACCCCCCCTTTTCATTTATTTGCGTTTGACTGAAAGAGCACATTTTATTCACTATAATGCCAGTGGGTCATCAGGTCTGTCAGATTGAGCTGGGATGTGGGGTATCATTTCAGGATGAGCACATTTTCAATGATGGTCGGCGGGGTAGAGGGGAGAAGAGGACAATTTTGCTGCAGATAGTTTATTGTGACAAGAGGAAAACTGTATGTAATTGAGAGGTCAGTTTGCAGTCGCTGTTATTGAACTGCTCAGTCCCATTTATTATGCAATTAAATTGAGTTTGTCCCCCCACTCCATCACAATATGCTAAATGACTGTTTGTGGAACGCTGCTGTGCGTAATTGGCTGCCGCGTTTTGCCCACAAATATAGTCAATTCACTTTACAGTATATCCTGTGAAGTGCTTTAAGACGTCTCATGCATGATAAAACACTGTACCAAATGCAAGGATTATTATTATTATCCATTTTGTATTCAACCATTTTCATAGATATAAAGTGTTGAAAGCAAATTTGACATTAGATGTATCTGAAGTCCAATTATCAAAGCCACTGTTTGAGTTAAACACCCTCTGCTTGTCTTCATCTGAGCATAACTGTAGTTTTTCATCAAAACATCATTAGCAACTCTATTCCAATGTTTCTATTTATGTCAAGGGAAGCCGCTCAAACAGCAACGATGCATTCACCAATAGGACAGACTAATGTGCTAAACAGGATTCCATTAAAACTACAATCACTGTACTGATAGAGATGATGCATTCCTCGACAAGATCCTGACCTGGTTTGTATCGAAGAAGAAAAGGCAAAATACTACAGATGCTGAAAATCTGAAATAAAAACAGAAGTCACTGGGAGCACTCAGCAGGTCAGGCAGCATCTATGGAGAGAGGAAAATGAGTTAACTTTTCAGGTTGTAGCACTTTCTGGCAAGCTTTCCCACTGCTTGTCCAGCTAGGACCACCCTACCTATTAGGGCTTGCAGCGTTAACCAGGAGACGAGTGGGATGACTCCAGTGACTGGTTTGTCTTTCCGAGTGTCTCCAATGAGCCAGGCTGTGCTGTGCTGTCATCAGCAATGCCCTGGAATACTGGAGCCAGTTCAGCTTCAAGGAGACCCTGCTTTACCCCCACCCCCCATGAGGATTGTCACTAGTTGGTCATTCGATGTCCGACAAGCGCAGGTTTGACCCTCACGAGGTGGATGGTGGGTACCAGGCACTCCCTGCGAGCTTTCTGGTGGGCAGCACAGTTCAGCATGAAATGCGTGAGAGTATTGCCACCATCTTCCTGCCCGCAGCTCAAGCACACTTCCCTTCCCATTGAGCGATGGTTCCACCAATCGGAGGAGCAAAGTTTAAGCAGCAGCTGCTTACCTCTGTGCAAGTCGATCGAGATACTACGCAGTTCCCATCGCTCTTCCAAGACACTTACACCTTTTGGGCCAATATCCTTCAAACTGGGAATAATCTGATCTGTGTAATAAGTGTGAAGCAATGGTGAAGTCATTGAGTACAGCAAATTTAAGCATTCATGCTTAAACCTGGTAAGTTTGTATTCCAAGGAATGTTTGCTAACTTAATTACTAAAGGCTGCTGCACGAAAGGACTCTCACAGCCCTGCTGGGAGCTGAAAAGCCTCTTGATATTGGCTGCGATTGCCATGATCAACAATAGTTGGCTCCATGTCAACTGTAATAAATCTGCAAAGATGAGTCTGCAGACCCCCCGATAAATGTACAAACCTTCAAAAATGAAGGGCCAATTTTCGCGAACCTGTGGGAGAATAACCTGACGTTGAATAAAGATTTGCTTGGCAATCTTATCGAGAGAGCCAACTGGGAATGTTTCCAAGAGCCGAGTGTGGAAATTCACGAGGCTGCTTATGTATATCTTTGGCCTCGCTCAACAAAAACAAATCTAGATATCCTGCCAGGGCTGTGTGTTCGGTTTCAATGGTAGCACCACACAATCCCTTTGTACGTTAAAAAGAAATTCCTGGACTTTTACATCTATCGACGGCTAATTTCAAACATTAAGCTCCTCTTCCAATGTTGGAATCGGTTCTCTTTCACTAACGCCAACAGAAAAATCAGCCACGATCCGAACGGAAAGCCTGGCCAGCCCTCGAGTGCATATACACGATACAAATACAAGCAGACACAAACATGATGTAGCATTTAGTCACAGTTGTTACCTGACTGGTTGACCCAGCCTCAAGATTGATACTTTAATTAAGAAATGCTCAGACGTAGCAAGAAATGCGCAGGAAAGTGCAGTTGTTTCGTCTTTTGGGACGACCTTAATCTGTGTGCAATTCACCTATGAATGTGTAGAGCGTCCAGGCCATTATATCTGGGAAACAAAACCATTAGGAAGTCGGTAGAATGACCCACATAGACATGCCAAACTATACTTTGTGCAAAACATTTCTCCAAGCTGTGTTTTTTTAAAATAATGCTTTTCTGTCAGCAGCCTGAGCGGTAATAGGATAGATATATGTCTTGCTCTATTTGTTATATGTCCCAATTTGGTACTGTGACTCGATGGTTAATGGTTCTGGAGCCAGGTGAATGCGATACTGAAAGGAAGTGATGCCTGACCCTCTGAGTTATGATACATGTCTCAGTGGTGATTAAGTCAAGTCACACTGGACCAAGTGAAGAATGATGCGTGACCCGGGATTGCTAATGGAGTGACCCGCATCTGAATGAAGAGTGATGCGCAACCCATTGAGGTTGAAGTCAAATAAACCCGGCCAAGCGAAAAGTAACTTGTGTCCCCAACGATCCTGAAAAAGTGCTGCCTGATCTACTTACTCGGCGGGGTGTGTAAAACCCAGTGATGCTCGAGTGAATCGTGCTGGATTGAATACGACCTGAAACCGACAGTGTGTTCGCAGGATTCTTGTGAGTATCAAAGACAATAACAGTCCGAAGAATATTGGCATCAGGTTTAAAAGAAACAAAGGGGCACGTCATTAAGTTGCATAAATCGAATCTGTCAGAACCCAACACGAGAAAAGAGTTTGGAGCGAGTTAATTCGAAAGAGCAATTTTCTAAGGAATCAATATGTGAGAGTGAATTAAGCAATTAGATGGTGATGTAGAGATTTGCAACACAGGAGAAAACCATTCTGTCCATCGTGCCCGAGTACTAGAATGGTGTAAAGTTTTTTCTTTCAGGATGAAGGTGGTTCAGTGCAAGCAAAAAGTTATGAGATCTAATTTGAGTTTAAACTGACTCATGAGAGGATGGAGCAGGTATCTAAAGGCAAAAGGCCTTCGTCGCTTTTGTTGTTGCATGTATGCAGCATTATTATTATTATTAATGTGCTTGACAGTCACCTTTTTCTTTAAATGTTACAGTATTTTCAAGCTGTAACATTTGTGAACAATGCCCAATGTGTTTCTGGTATTCTTGCAGAAGAAAGTGAGATGCATAGAAATGCGCACATAATCAACCCTCAACGTGTTGGAAGTACAGTACAGTTATTCTATCAGTAAGTAGGAACCCAGGTGTTAGTCGATTGGCGGATCACTTTTCCGGTGGTAATAATCCCTTCAATACAAAAAAATGCGGTCACTTAATCCACGACAGTTTGTGGGACGCTGCTGTGCGCAATTGGCTGCCCCTTTCGCCCACAAAATATACAGACAATTCACTTTACAGTATATTCTGTGAAGCACTTTTTTGATATAGCGCCTTATCACTTAAGACGTGATAAGGCGCGATATCAAATGCAAGGATTAATATTATCACAGTATATGGCTGTGATTTCACTCAATGAAACCCCAACTGCTGGACTTTGGCAACTCTCTTTCTTACGGAGCTGTTATTTCAGCACCACAGGTTCTCTTGATGTTAACGGATACCTTGCTTTCTTACCTGGGGTACCCTTTTCGGAACGACAATCAAAATCACTTAACGGTTGATATATTTGCTTGACATGTATGTAATACACATCGGGTTTCTTATTTTTTTGCTTCCCCCAAATCGGGGCTTTTTTGATCTCCGTCACACCTCTTAGAAACGCACGCCTTTCATTTTTGTAGCCATTATATTACAAATCAGAGCACGACCGTGACTTGGGAAAAGAAACCTTGGCTTCGGTGTAATTTTATGTGTTGCATTAATAGTGAAGTTCCCCAACTCGTGAGCTGGTTAATCGACTGCTTTGTGTTGCATTTGCAAATCGCACTCCTGATGCTCAGACCTTGCCCCGTGGTGGCTTATCAAAGAAATAGCTGGTTTGGAGATAATAATCATGACAGGATTGCTTGTTAGATTTGGAAACATTGCATAGTTTAATGCATATCGTTACTTCCAAGATAAACACCAGTGGAGCTCGAATAACACCAGTCGCCTCCTCACAGCTTGGGGTGTGTTTGTATTCCACCCTTAATGATCAAGCATTCATTTAGATACCGACACAAACAGGCTTTATATTTACCCCCTTATCCCCTCCCCTTTCCCCTATGTTCACCTGGTGAGCCCTAAAGCAGCACAATTGGCGAGGAGAGAATGTTCCTCCTTGTGTCTTTAATTAAAGGATGAAAGTTTGCCTCTTGGCTGCAGACTGCAGTGTGTGTGTGAGAGAGAGAGAGAGAGAGAGACAACACACTGTGCATTTTTCAACTATGACAAATCTGCTCCTCCTGTTCCCAGCAGCAGAGCCTCACCCCCCCATCCACCACCACCCCCACCCCCCGTACCTCCCATAAATCATAGTGACGTGGTCGCCAGTCAGTG